TGTGTGCTTAAAAAAATTAACTGTCCTGCATTTAGATGGAAATCCTTATAAATTAAATCTTTTAGTGTCTGAGAAAAGGAATGATCCACACACAAAAATATATCCAGTGGAATCAATTAAGAACATGTTAATTTTAAGTTTTTATCATATGGGTCAATTTTTTTTTTCAACAGGGTTCACTCATCATGGGGTCATGAGGGTGGTTAATAATTGGGTTTAATCATGGTTGGGGTTTTGCCAGACAAGTTAGTTATGTATGGTGTAGAAAAGTTTTCAGGAGCTCTGCCACGGTCCCCACACTCAACCCTCTTCCTTTAGGGTCTGATGAAAAGGTTTAGCACCTCCTGTTTTTTAACCTAAGTCAGCCACCAACCATTCATGTGCACTCTCCTTCCCCACACCAAATTACCTGGTTATGCTTCCACCAACATCATGACCATTTCCACATCCAAACTATAAGAACTTGGGCAGCAGATTATTTAACTTCTCTTTAAGCCTTAGTCTGTTCATCCAGTGTGGATAATAGTTCCCACCTCATTGGTGAGCATCAGCTGAGATAATTTCATGTAAAGCATAGTGCCTAGAATATAGTAGTATCTTAAACGTTATTGTTATACTTGAAAGAAAACTTTATTAACAAATAAGAGAACTCAAAGCAACTAAGGACTCAGTGAAGGAAACTAGAAAAAAAGAACTACAAAGTAAACCTATAAAAAGCAAGAGGAAGGAATTAAATATAATTTCAAAAATCAGCGAATTAGAAAACAAGGGAAAACACACAAAAGCAAATCCACAACATTAGGAAAGCAAAACAGGATATAAGCACAGATAGGAAGGAGATTAAAACATCATAACAACCCAAATATTTACAGATAAAATGATATAATGTCTGAGATTTGCTTCAAAATAATTAACTACAGGAGTTGGGGAAGTGAGCATATGAAACAAGATTGGCTATGAGCTGAAAATTATTAAACTTAGGTGATGAGCACATGAAGGCTGTACTATTCTGTCTGCTTTTGCATCTGGTTGAAATTTTCCTTAGGTTTAATTTCAAAAACTTAATAGAATACTAACTGTAACAGTATACTAATATGAAAGTTGGTGAAATGTATGGTGTTTTAGGAACATCTAAATTTGGGAAGGGAGAGAGAAACAGTATACCAATAGCCTTGGGAGAAGTTGAAATCATAAAAAATTAGCACTACCACACTTTCTGTCCCTGATTATAGTGCCAAGCTCAGTGATTTCTTAAGAGAAAAATCTTCGAAACTTTCAAGAAATAGATCACTCTGTGGTCTTTAAGTTGTCCCAAAACATAGGAAAAAATCTGCCTTGCCTTCTAGTTTGTTTTATAGAATTAGCATAGCCCCAAAAATGAGATAGCGTAGAAAAGGAAACCATGTGCCAATTTAATTCATGAATATAAATGCAAAAATCCTAAATATTTACAAATTAAGTATAGAATTATATTAAAACAATGGATTTTTTCCTGGAAATACAAGCATAGGTCAATATTAAGAAATGTATTTGTCTAAGTTATCAGTAAATTAAAGGAGGAAAAATTAAGTGACAGTATTAATAGATAAAAAGACATTACACAAAACTTAACACTCATTCCTCTTTTAGTAAAGACTTTATATATCTAAGACCAAATATTCACATTATGTCTGGATGAATTAGTGAGTATGTCTCCAAGTCAGGATCAAGGTAGCATTTACTACTGCTTACTTTAAGCTCTGTAGACTATGGGAAGTTTGGAGTTTGTTCTGTGATGGGAAGCCATTGAAGAATTTGAGGTAGGGGCATAAATTAGTCTGATTTCTGTTTTAAGATGATTCTGGCTGCTGTGAAGATAAAGGATTGCACAGGGAAAATTTAGAAGCAGAGAAACCAGTTTTATGGCAATAGATGATAGTTTGTACTGGGAATGGCAGAGGAAATAGAAATAGACAGATTTGAGGTTTATTTTTGAGATAAAATTAGAATTTGTTGAGGGATTAAATATGAAAGGAAGGAAATTAGATAAGAAAGGAAAGGCCAAAAAGGACTCATAGGTTTTTGAGAAAGGTAATAATGTCATTGCCTAAAATGAGGAAGGTTCGTTTCCCATTACACTTGAAATAAAATACAAACCCAAATTTCTTGGGTCTAAGGCCTCACTTAATATGGCCCTAAGCTACCTCTTCATTTCCTTCCCCTTTCCTTGATGTTCATCGCATTCTAGCCACTGTGGCCTTTCCTTCGTGTGTTGAATTCATTAAGCTCATTCCTATCTCTGTGCTTTGGCATTTGCTGTTCATTCTGTTTGAGGACTCTACCCCATGAGTCAGCAAACTTTGTGTATAATGGGCCAGATAGTAAATAAATATCTTAAACTTTGTAGGCCATATGATCTCTCTTGCAAATACTCAACTCAGCGGTAGCCATTGTAGGGCAAACACAGTTGAAGATAATATTTAAACAGAGATGGACATGGGCAGATTTGGCCCTTAGGCTGGCCAGGCCTGGCTATAGTTTGCCCCTGCCCAAGGTCTTGATGTGGTTCCCTCCTTATTATTCAGGTTCTTCCTGGAGGACAACGTGCCAAATAAGAGGATCAAAAACCTTAATGCCGCATACTCTTGAATATACAGTTCTACTTCTAGAAATTATTTCTAAATGTGAATGTGTACAAATGATGGGACAGCACCATGGTGTAGATCAAAGACCCAACAACAGGAGATTTGTATAATCGAATTTTCAACAGTTATTAATAATGCATTGAGAAATAGAGAACAGGGGTCAGCAAACTACACTCATGGGCCTGTCACCTGTTTCTGTAAAAGATGTTTTATTGGAACACAGCCTTACCCATTCGTTTTCTCACTGCACTGACAGAGTTGACAGAAACCGTATGTCCTGCAAAGCTGAAAACATTTACTATCTGTCCCTTTACAGAAAAAGTGATACTATGTGTAGTATGGTTCATATATGTGCATAGAAAAGACTGGAAAGAAAATCACCAAAATAGTGATTTTTAAAATTTTTTCCCTTTTTGTTTATTATGTAAGTTTTCAATAATGGGCATCCATTATTTTTATAATAGTTACTTTTTAAATAATAAGGTAAATGATTAAATCAATAAAATGTTTAAAACAAAAATTTAGTAAGATAAATTTTAAGAAATTTTAAAGTTAGAGATGGAAAAAAAGAACAGTATCTAGTTTCATGTGCACAACCACACAAGTAGCATCCATTTCAGATTTCAGCATATGATACTTATTAAGGAAGCCATTTATTTGAGGTCTTATGTGTGATATTTGGTATTAATCTCAAGATTAATCTGGGCAATGGGATGTGCTTAAACAGTAATAAATACCATAAGAGATGTACTAAAGGACTTTAAGAGCTCACATTCTGGTTAGGAGATAGATAACACCTGAATAAAGCAGTTGCTCATTGATGAATTGTAATATGATTATAAGGAATTCCAATCACATCAGCTAGTCTTTTAACTTTGTTTATGGTGCCTTTTGATATAAAGACCTTTTAAACTTTTATAATCAAATCTGTATTAATACTTTCCCTTATGGTATCTGCATTCTCCAAACAGGTAGCCATATATCCTAACATCTCCCTCTGATGTACAGTGCCACATTCTTTTCTGTCACTCTATTTGTGTTTTATAGTAGTACCACACTGTTTTAATTAAGGTATCATTTCAACTTGGAGACTTATTTCAGATTTTGGTGTCTGAAATATTGCTTCATTTCTTAGTGCTAATTATTAAAAAGCATAACACAGCAAAATGTGAATTATTAACCTGAGCACTAGTAGTAATTAAAGCCAATTTTCACTAATCCTTTACGTTTAAAAAAGGGTATTTGGTTGCTCGTGTTTAAAAATATTACTTGAATAAAGTCAGTGACTGCTACTTACAGAGATATCCTACTTCATTAGTTGTGCAGTAAACATGATGCTTTTTCCTGACATAGTCTCAAGAGCCACCTCATGTTCAGACTGCCATTCTGTGTTAGGTGGTTGTCCTTGCCTTGCTGCCCTTCTGGAGTGTTGTAAGGAGTCTTAAGTAATTCCTTTTGGGAGATGGGAGAGTTCCTAAGTGCCTGCCTTGCTGAAAAACTGAAGCATGCGTTTTTAAACAAGAGGAGTGCACAATTTTCCAGGCAGAATTAAAAGTTCTATCTTAGATATTTATTTGGGTCCCTGTTGCTGCTAATGTATTTGGTTATATAAGATAATTTTTTAAATTGAGCAAGGTTTTTTTTTTTTTAGTTACTCTTCAACTTCCATTAGGTCATTTATAGAACATTTTCATAAAAATTTGATAGAGGACGAAGAGTCCTGGCTTTTCTTGTAGGATCGGTAGCACATAATGGGCTCTCTAATGTTTGCTCAGTAAGTGGGTACTAAACTGAACTCCCATTATAGATAGCTCTATCACCAAATATGGGCCTACCTTGACCACAGTTTCTTTATCCAGAAAGTGAGCCGACTATTCTTGGTACTTTCTAGAGTGTCTTCAGGTTTTGAAAATTCCATGATTTTATTAAATTCTTACAGGCTGTGTAGATTAACCCTTGAGGTTTTTGTTGGTTCCACATAGATTAAATGTTCATTAAGTAGAGCATTATCCCACAACTCTTGAAGCTGCTGTTCTTTGGTTGTTTTAAATGCCACTATTACAGTGATTATGTTCTGAATGTTGGCATACTTGTCATTTTCCAAAGCAAAAATACCTTAGAAAAATTTCTATAAGGTATTACAGTATGAAATGAAATGGAGTGAGGGATTATATGGTAGCTTGACCCCTCCTTCTTTTCCAAGATGGCTTCTTAAGTGTTCCATTTTGCTAATAACCCAAGGATTGGACTTCTTTTTTTTTTTAACTTATATTTTATCAACTAGGAATGTGAGTTTTAACTATGGGCCTTTAAGTCTTGAATCTGGTTGATAATTAATGCTTATGACTAACATAAATTCAAAAGTAATTTACTTTCATTTAAGACAGGTCGCATTTGTCCTTACATCACAATTTTAAAAGTTTCTTGCCTGTGGTCTTCATTTTCTACCTGTAGTTATGAAACTCTTCCTCATTGACAGGGAACACCCATGACATGCCTGTGTATAACCTTAAAATTGTCTTGAGACCACGGCTTGAGTGTGTGTGTAAACACACTGCAAAGGGTCAAATTCCACTTGTGCATCAGTTTAGCAACTTTTAGTAGTGGCAACTAGTTTCAGTTGTTTTAAAGGGTCATATAGTTAAGAAATTCTGGCATTTCTCAGGATTCTAAAATAATGTTTGTTTCACTGGTTGTGAAAATTCTCCGGATTGCTGGGAACTAGGAGAAAAGAACATTTCAACAGGATTTGGCTATCAGCAAATCTGTTTTGGTTTCCTGTTCTGGCCTCCCTACCTATCCAGCTACATTAGTGCCCCTGTCGGCAGGTTTCTTCTTTCTTTTACCACAGGAAAATTGTCCGGCCTCTTTTTCTAGCATTTTCAGGACCCGCCTGACAGGAAATTTTCTAATTGCCGGAACAGCTGGTAGGAGAAAACTTTGCAGGGGCTTGGCCTTCCCTTTCTAACTTAAGTTTTACCGTCAGAAATTCTTTTATCACCATCATGGTTTCGTAGCCATGTTTAAATTTTTGTCTTTTCGTGTTCGCTCTATACAGGTAAGCTCTATTCACCTTCTTTTAAAGAATAAAATGTTTTAGTTGGAGCTAACTATAATTATAGTAATTATTTTATATGTTCTTTAAAGCAGCTTTTCAAAATTCAAAACCAGTTTTGATAGAACGTTTAAAGGATAATATCTCTGTTTACTAAAAGTAAGCCAGTTATGTATATTATACATTTCAACTCTGTATATTTTGTCAACTTACTTTCATATTGGGTTTTTTTTTGTTTGTTTGTTTGTTTGTTTTTTTAGTGCTAGAGTAATTTTTATCTTGCTAGTGTTTGTAATTTTTTATAGTAAAACAAATGACTGTAATTCTCAAAATTAAACCAGGCATAAACAGAATTGCAAATTTGCTAATATTTAGGAGATTACTATAATGAAAACAACTTTAGTGGGTAGGAGAGTATGTTATTTTAAGCAGTCAATAACTTAAAATCACATTTTGGTGGAAATTGGTTCCTGTAAAAACATGGAAGTTTTTAAGCAACTCCATATTTAAATAACTTTAAGCAAGTAATTTTATCTGATTTAGAGTAGGAACAATTTTCAAAGAATTATTCTGTTAAAATGGGCTTAGTGGATGTTAATTTGCAATATATTTAATCTACAATCCTGCCAAAATCAACTTGATATTTTGCCATGAGAATTGTACTATCCAGCAGCTCTTTAAAGAGAATTAAATTTGCTGATCGGGATTCCAGATTGGGAGAAAACTCTGCTCTTTGTGGCAGTGATTAGAAATGTTAATCTGGAGAACCAGCTTGCTATTTTCTCAAACATAGATAAAAGGAGCTGACTTATAAGAACTTAAAGCTCTCTTAAAGAATTTGGTTAAATGAAAAATGTTGAATTTATTTATCATTCCATAGCAAATGAAGTGAATTGAATTCAGTCAGATTGTAATCTAGAATATTTTAATACGTAGTTTCACACCATGGCTTGAATAACCAGCCTAATTTTGTGTCACAACAAAATAATTTTTATGTATCTTGATCATCTACAAAGAGGTTAACATATCTTTTTAAAATAAAACTACATATTATAGAACTATAGGTATCTATATAAAGGGTGATAGTTTAATTTAGAATGACATTTAAGGGACAAATAAAGTATGCATTTTTCGTTTGTAAGCTCTTTTTTGTGGTACAACAAAAAATGGTTACACATCCATAGTTAGAAAATACTTACTGACTTTTACCAAGAAACATTTAAATATTTTACTTCAAGCTTCAATAATATTTTCTGGCATTCAAAACAATTTAGAAAATACAAATGCCTCAAGAACACACTTCCTGACTCAAGGGAGGGGAGGAAAAAGGAAATTATGTATACAAGGCAGGGCATAATGCCAAACGTTGAATCATTCTTTGAAATCAGTTAATATCTCTCAGTTTGTTTTCTTAGTTAGCATGTTACAATACTAGGTTTTCGATAATTCTAATAGCATTAATTTCAGTTTCTTTAATCCTTTTTACATTTTAAGATCAAAATGATATTTTTCTCTTACAGCTTGAAAAGGAAACATTAGATTATTTTTTCCCCACTAAAGAGTGGACCTTAAAGACCATTGAGGTGTAAACCTAAGGAACTTTTGTTGGTCCTGGGAAACAAACTGGGTGGCTTTCTGTATGACTGAGGGATACCAAAAGATCTACCTGCCCATAAATTTTCTCCTCATTTTTCCGTGATGTCCAAAATGGCACTCTTTACAGAATTTCTAAAATTATATGTTTGAACTGACTTCGTTTTATCCATCGGGGTCATATCTCAACAAATATTTATCTAATAATAAATCTTTGAGATCCAGGTAAATTGTCTTAGTATCTCTAACACCTAGTACAATACGTGGCCCATAATTTGAATGGCCTTCCAACGAAAAGGAATGGTCCTAACAGAGTATGTCATAGATCAGAAACATTTTCACTGGGACCAGGCGTTCAGGAAAAAGCAAAAGCAGGAGAGCCACCTGAGTTTTAGTTCTCTCTCTGACCTCACTCTTCTCTACGTCTCTTTCATACTCTCTGATTTAAACTCTAGTGTCCAGGTGTGCTCCCACTCTGGCCTTTGTACTGGCTCATCCCTCTCCTAGGAATGCTTTTCCCCCAGGTGCTTGACTTTCTCACCTTCCTCAGGTCTTTCTCAAATAGCATCTTCTTAATAAAGCCTGCCCTGACTACTTTATTGAAAATTACAATCCCCCCTTTCCATGTCTGCTATTCTCATCCCTTTACTCAACTCAGTATCTTTTCTTCGTAGTATTTATCATGTTCTAACCTTGATTTACCTATTATTATTATTATTATTATTATTATTTGGTCTGTTGTCAAAAAGGCAAAGTTTTTGGTCCGTTTGACTTATTGTATATCCCAGCTCCTAGAAGAGTACCTAGCATGTATCGGGTGCTCAAAAATAAATATTTAAATGGATGGAAGAATGAATTAGTGAATTCCCGTACATAGCTTAAGGGTATTGAACACCTAGGCTGAGGAAGGTGGCAAATGTCTGAAAGGGGTGGAAATGTAGGAAGAATGAAACAGGGCGTGATGTAGATCTGCTGCCATCCTCAAAATTTTGCCTACAGTCAGACTTTTGCTTATCAAATCAACATAGTCTATGTAAAAATAATAACATGGAATTTATTATTACTGTTTTTAAATGCACAAAGTTAGTTTTTTGTGGTAGTGAATGGACAGATACCCATTTATCATTTAAAATATGTGAGCCTCACAGAATAATTAGAGTGTATATAATTTATATCTCTGTTCCAGTTTATTAACATAATTTTTTCCATAAAACTATTAATATAGCTGCTTTACCATGTATAGGCAAAAACACAGTTTTATAAAATGTCAAGTCAAACTATAATTTTATGTTTTCATGTGACAGATTTATTTCAGTAACAGGTGATTTAGTGACATAAGATATGTTTGTCACATGCACATGTCAGTCTGTTCTTGGCTTATCACTGCCCTTGGAAATCTGATATTCCTTTCTGCATCCATCTCATTAGATTCCAAGTATGAGCTAGAAAAGTACATTGTTGCTTTCCTACCTGTTGTCCAAGATTGCCCAACCATTAGTATTATGTCCTGGTTGAACCTTAGATTCATTTCTAAAATAGTCATGGTCCTATGACCTGGTGACATTAAGTACGATCTGGGCATCGAGATCTCAACCCAGGATATTTTGCCTATTATACTACTGTAGTTTTGCATATATGTAAAGTAGATAGAAAATAGTTTGCTGGTGTGATTAGTGAAAATTTAGGTCTTATGAAATTTAAACTTGGAACAGAAAAGCGTGTTCAGGATAAAACAGTGGCAGGTTTTTGAAACTTGAACCAATGTCAAACTTGCCACAGGAATTGATCTTTTCTCTCCATCCTCGAGTATTTTCCGTACTCTCTGAGCCCTGATTTAGAAACATATTTTATAAATCCCTGTTTGTATCCCTAAAGAGGTTTGAAATGATCACATCTGTTTTGGGGGGAAGAGAGTAGGGAGTGGAGGAAGATGCTTTTTAAAACACACACACACACACACACAAAGAAAAGAAACACTTGAAAATTTACTTTAAGATTTGCCAGAATAAAAAATTTAGTATGAAAGTGGGAAGATAAAGTCAAGAAAGTCTCTTAGAAAATAGAGACAGTACTGGACATGATGGCTCATTCCTGTAACCCCAGCACTTTGGGAGGCCAAGTCAGGCGGATTGTTTGAACTCAGGAGTTTCAGACCAGCCTGGGCAACGTGGTGAGACCCTGTCTCTGCAAACAAATGAAAAAATTAGCCAGGTATTGTGGCACATGCCTGTAGTTCCAGTTACTGGGGAGGCTGAGGTGGGAGGATTGCTGGAGCCCAGGAGGTTGAGGCTACAGTGAGCTGAGACTGCACCATTGCACTCCAGCCTGGGTGACAGAGCCAGACCCTGTCTCAAAAAAAAAAAAAAAAAAAAAGGAAACAGAAAATAAAAGAAAAAAAATGACATAAAGGATTCCATTTCAGATATACAGTATTCAATTAGTAGAAGAGTCACAAAAAGAGAAGCCCTGAAAAACGAGTGGAAGGAAATTATCAAAGAAATGTTAGAATTCCCCACAAAGTTAAAGAATTCAGGTCTTTAGATTATAAAGGTTCACCAAGCATCTAGCATTCTGAAGGAAAGAAGACCCTGTTTATCTCACTATTGGGGAACTTCAGAAACACAAGGACAGAGAAAATCTTTAAAACTTCCAGAAAGAAAAACCAGACCTACCAAAAAGTGTGACTAGACTAGCATCACCCATCTCATCAGCAGAACTGGATGCTAGAAGGCAGTGGATCTGTGGTGTCAAAGTTCTGAGGCAAGATTATTTTTCTTCTGGAATTTGGTACTAAGCCAAACTATACAAATGGGAAGACAAAATAACAACATTTACAGATGTGTGAGGTTCAGAAAGTTTTCCTCCAGGACACCTTTCTTTGGAAGTTACAAGGGGGTAATCTAAGAAAGAGACATAGGAAACTGAAAACAGTGAAGTAACCATTTTAACATGTAATGAAGTTTTTATTTTATTTTATTTTTTTTTTTGAGACGGAGTCTCGCTCTGTCGCCCAGGCTGGAGTGCAGTGGCGCGATCCCGGCTCACTGCAAGCTCCGCCTCCCGGGTTCACGCCATTCTCCTGCCTCAGCCTCCCAAGTAGCTGGGACTACAGGCGCCCGCCACCTCGCCCGGCTAGTTTTTTTGTATTTTTCAGTAGAGACGGGGTTTCACCGTGTTAGCCAGGATGGTCTCGATCTCCTGACCTCGTGATCCGCCCATCTCGGCCTCCCAAAGTGCTGGGATTACAGGCTTGAGCCACCGCGCCCGGCCGAAGTTTTTATTTTTAATTTTTTTTAAGTCCCCTTAGATTGGCCTGGGAGTCGTTGTTATGGGCCCATATAAGAGGAAATTTAATATATTACTTAGCCTTCATTTGAGCCATATATTGTCATGATAATATGGATGCTGTTGTCTATAGGCTTTCAACTTTAGAATTAGGCTATAGAGAGAGAGCATGAAGGATTTGGTTGTGGTTGCAGGAGGAAATGTTAATTTTCTTAAAATTAATAGCCTTAATATTAATAAAATTATATACAGCTAGCAGCAAATGGGAAGAAGTTTAAGAGGAAGAATATATGGGCACTATTAGCCTCCTTTTTCAAAGGGAAGAGTTAGGATTCTGTTCAAAGCAGAGAAAAGATGAGAAGTTTATGTAAAGGTAATATAATTACCAAACAATAGAGAGGAAGATGATGAAGTGAAGGGGCATAATATAAGTAAGTCCCTCACCTTAAGTTAGTAGACATTGTCTTAAGGTTAATAAATTAAGAAATTATCAAAGTAGATGCAGAACTAATTTTTTTTCGAGTCTGGGCATGAGGGTGAGAAGAGATTTGCTTTTCACCATAAGCTCTTCTGCCACTGTTTATTACTAACGTGCAAGTATTACTTTGATTTTTAAAACAAAAAGTTTAGGGAATAAGAAATAACCTGGGTTGACAAAAGGCTATGTGTAAGAGAATGTTGGGAGATAATATCACAAAAGTAGGTTGAGGCCATATTGTAGAGGACCTCGAATGCCCAGGTGAAGCAGTGCATTTAATTTGAGAAAACTTGGAGGAGTTTTTGAACAGCCTGGTCATATGACTGAAGCTGTATAATTTCAGAAAGTGAATTTGTCAAAAAGATGAATTGGAGTGGACGCAGGCAGAAAGGGATATTATGAGTAACCAATCTAGTTTCAGTTTTCTAGCTGAAAGGTAATGAAGGCTTATACCTTGATGATACCACTGGAAATAGAAAAAGAAAGAATGAAAAGTGTTCTCAACACTGTGCTTGATACATAGTATTTCGGTATGTGGTTGTTATACTGAAGGGACCAAAGAGAGACACTGCTTTTTTTTTCTTTTGAGACAGGGTCTTGCTCTGTTTCCCAGACTGGAGTGCAGTGGCATGATCATGGCTCACTATAGCCTCGACCTCCTGGGCTCAAGCGATCCTCACATCTCAGCTCCCTGAGTAGCTGGGACTACAGGCTCGCACCAACCACCACACCTGGCTAATCTTGTAAATGTTTTGGTAGAGACAAAGTCTCACTATATATCCAGGCTAGACTCTACTTTTTGTTGTTGTTGTTGTTGTTTTGAGACGGTGTCTTGCTCTTATTGCCCAGGAGGCTGGAGTGCAGTGGTGTGATCTCGGTTCACTGCAATCTCTGCCTCCTGGGTTCAAGCGATTCTCCTGCCTCAGCCTCCCAAGTAGCTGGGATTACAGGTGCCCACCACCACGCCCAGCTAATTTTTGTATTTTTACTAGAGACAGGGTTTCACCATGTTGGCCAGACTGGTCTCGAACTCCTGACCTCAGGTGATCCGCCCACCTCAGCCTCCCAAAGTGCTGGGATTACAGGAGTGAGCTACTGTGCCCAGTCAGACTCTGCATTTTTTAGTAACTTATTTGACATGAGATGAAAGGAAGGGTAGTCATCAAAGATGAGAGTAGTAATTGTTTATTTTGAAGTTCATGGCCTGATTGTAGCTCACACTATTTAAGTGTAAGGGTTGATCCTGTATGCCTGCTACAAAATGGAATGTGTTTATAATTAGGTGATTGTTCTTCCCTGCTTGTGTTGCATCTTGATTTGTGACCAACAATTTTTGTAGGATTTGCTGTGAAATATAAGGTGAAAAAATACTGTTACCTGATAAATCACATCCCATTTACCTACAAAAGAAAAATGTAAAAAATATATAACATTACAAAATAGAGTTCTTCATGACCTCATAATTTAAAGGCATAAATGGCTGCTAGTTTCCAATTAGGCTCTTGAAGAGATAGTTTTTGTTTGTTTGTTTCTTTGTTTGGTTTTTAACACGAGACTGACACATGCTGGAATCCAGCCCATTAACTTGGTTAGTCTTCAGAGTATGATGTGACAGCACTTTGGGGTATAGAAAAAGAAGAGAACTTATTTACATGTATATAATTTTAAGGATACAAATATTGTGTATGTAGGGATTTTTGGTTTTGTGTTTTTTGTTGTTTTGGGTTTTTTTGTTTGTTCGTTTTCCTGTTAAGGATGTGCTACCAAAAAGTTCAAAGAACACTGCTGTAATCAACTGAGCTAACAGACCGGTTACGAAGACCAGGGTCATAAGCCTATAGGTTTCCTGTCATTGATCTCAGTGTGGTGTAATGGTAAGGGCCTTGTTTTCAAAGTCAGGAGACCTAGAATTGAGCCCTAAATTTACCACTTACTGGCTTGTGATCTTTAGCCTTCAATTAATCTCTTTAAATTTCAGACCGTAGAATATTCAAACCAGTTTGTTTTTAGAGGATCTGTCAAATTTCTAGTGGTAAATGGGAGAGTACATAGAAAACTCTGAAGTGTTTGTGCTTGTTCTAAGGTTTACTCATTTATATTATATCAGTCCTCTCTAACATTAATATGTGGTCAAAGATTTGTTGTGAAGCATGAATATAAAACATGAAAAAACACCTAACACAGGGTTGATATGTAGTAGGTGCTCAATAATAGTATTTGCTGGATTTCTATCTAAATCTTAATCCCACATATACTTTGTTCTTTGAAAGGTTTTTTTAAAAAATTTGATAATTTGCTTCCTGCCTTCCCTATTGTACTAATGACTACTAACAGCTATCACTCTGAAGCCCTTGGTCTCTGGAGAAAAGGGTGTCTGAAAACCCTTGTACCTTGGTCTTATTTGGAGGAAAGAGGTAGCGTCTTAAGAGTCAGCTAATGCTTGGTTCTACGCTAATACCTACTGCACAGGATCGTTTTGAGAATTAAAGGAGATAACGCACGGGAAACTGAAATAAAGAGCTATACTGATGTTAGGAAGTGATTTGATTATTGTTCCCGAAGTCCCAGGAGAGTCCAATATGATTGAACTGCCTAAGTAGTAGGATAACCTACAAATTACAGCCTCTGTCTTGGAAATAAAGTAGGGGGCCTGGATTCCTTTTTCTCCTTTTCTGGGAGCTTTTTTCCTTTTACTACTCATTTTCAAAAGCTACCATGTTAGGATATTCTGGTATGTCCTTTTGAGAAATCTTTGTAATTCCTTATATTGCCAGCATTCTAAGGACATCTCAGAAAAGGTTAAGTGAATGCAAATGTTTGTTTGGGATAAGACAATAACAAAAACAATAGATTATTTATGTTTACATAACACATTGAGATTCTACTAACAGTACTTATGCACCTAGAAAAAAACATTATCGTCAACAAAATAGAAATGCTAGTCTTTATTTGACAGGCTTATGTTTCTGATTTTGTCAGATTTTGTTTTGTTGTAGTTTTTGACTATAATATACAGTATGTGTCTTGATTAAATAAGATAACCTAATCTGCTGATCTCACATAAGTAATTGAAATCCTGTGTATATTTCATATATTTTCTCTTTGTTCTGACACTTTTCCTCAAATATATTAAAATGTTCACTATCTTTTAAAATCCTTCTCTTAACCCAGATACCTCTCACTGTTCCATCATGCTGAATAGTCATTTTTTTCCATGTCTGATTATCCATCCAAATGTTAAATCTTTTCTCCTTTTGTGTTTTAGAGTTACTCCTTTCTCCCCTTTCAGATCCCAGATTATTCTAGAAACAGAAAGTAACAGGCATTTCAAAGGGATAAAACTTCAGTGTACTTAAACAGCCACATTGAGGTTAGAAATCTCCATTTTTACCCTGGAATATTTTTCAACCCCTCTCCTCAATAAACACTTTTTTAAAATAGCATTAGTTCTGCGTAGTATAACCACACACCAGAGCACAGCAGATTATTCCGATCTGTTATTTTCAGACTTCTTTACACCCTCTGCCCCCACCCAATAAAACTATTCTAATTATCTCCAGTAGAGAGAATGAAGACTTGGAAATATTTAGTACTAAATGTCATCTAGAGGTTAAATGGTCTATGTAGTAGGCTGTTATAATAACTATCTCTGACACTTAACCTGAAAGTATATATGTGTGGCATATTCACTTGATGGGTTGGTAAATGGTGATTTTGTATGTTAATTTGAGGATTTCTAATTTGCTTAGAAATTAGATTGATTTCTAATTAATTTCTAGTATGATTAAATTAATATTGTTTGATTTTTAGCAGGAGAAAATAGCTCTGGCTAACCCTGTTTGCTCCCCTTATATTTATCTCAACAGGAAGAAGTCAGTATCAAAGAAATTGCAATCACACATCATGTAAAGGAAGGACATGAAAAGGCAGATCCTTCCCAGTTTGAACTTTTAAAAGTATTAGGGCAGGGATCATTTGGAAAGGTAAGTCATGAGTGTGTGCTTTTTTAAAAGTTGTCTTTTAATTTCATATGTATTTCATACACATGAGGAAACAAATGTTTTATGAAATGCTACCAGTCTTCCTACCAGCAATGTTTTCTGTTTTTTTACATTTCTCACTATCAGTAAGTGTGGGAAAGTGAATAAAGTTCAAAAGTACATTGAGAACTTATAGTAAATTGGTAGTATTTGCTTCATACTTTGTCTTCAAGACCACATGACCTCTCCAGTTGTGATTCTTGAATGGTTAAAAATCACAAGATATTTCCTTGATACACTGGCCTCTTTTTGAGTCCTTGGGTAGGGTTGGATGGTGATCTTGCAATACAGTATAACAGCACATCTCAGCCTCCCTTCCAGTGTACTCTAATACCAGCATAAAGTGAGTGATGCTCCCAAAGAAGTAGGGTTGGGGGCTACTGCTACAATTTTGAAGTTTTCTTGACTCCTGGCTTGTCTTTACAATGAGTGCAAAGTTTGCATTTTATTCAGTAACATCGTGTTTGTTTTTAACATCAAAAAATGTTTCCCAAAGCCACCAAGTAAAATTCCTGCAAAAGACAGGATCTGCCTCTGTCACCCAGGCTGGAGTACAGTGGCGTGATCTCGGCTCACTGCAACCTCTGCCTCCCAGGTTCAAGCAATTCTCCAGCCTCAGCCTCCTGAGTAGCTGGGACCACAGGCACACACCACCACGCCCAGCTAATTTTTGTGTTTTTTTATAGAGATGGGGTTTTGCCGTGTTGCCCAGGCTGGTCTCAAGCTCCTGAGCTCAAAGCGATCCACTTGCCTCGGCCTCCCAAAATACTGGGATTACGGGTGTGAGCAACCACGCCCAGTCGAAAATGCAACATCTTTATCAGTGTTTTTCATGTCCTGCTTGTCTCCCACCACATACATACACACTGCACACCTCAGGGGCACTTCTGTACTCCATTTTGAGAAGTACAGCATTATAATTACTGCTACTTGATCTGTTTAGACCAGGGGTCCCCAACCCCCGGGCGAGCATTGCTGTTTGAGCACCACCTCCTGTCAGATCAGTGGCAGTATTCGATTCTCATAGGAGCACAAACCCTGTTGTGAACTGTACATGGGAGGGATCTAGGTTGTGCACTCCTTATGAGAATCTAATGCCTGATGATCTGAGGTAGAACAGTTTCATCCTAAAATCATCTCCCCCTCCCACTGCACCAGTCTATGAAAAAACTGTCTTCCATGAAACCAGTCCCTGGTACTAAAAAAGGTTGGGGATCACTGGTCTAGATTGTTTCTTGGCAAAAGGAACATTTGGAGATTGCATTCAACTTTCACAATGCAGTGATTCCTTACCACCTCTCTGTAAGGAAATATTTGAAGATATCATGCTTTGCAAGTTTCAGAACAGCACCACTTTAGCTCTCTTGTGTATTTTAGTGGGGGTATTTAGCAATTCTTGGCTAGCATAGGTAATTTGTTACAGTTGTTAACCTCTTTTGAACCCAAAAGGATGCTTTTAATCCAAATATAGAGTAAGTAGCCAGCAGAGCATAACGGTTGTAAGTTTGGGCTCTAGGTCAGCCAGACTTCGATTCAGTTTTTTTCCTTCTATTTATTCACTGTGTGTGTTTGAGCAAGTTACTTAACCTCTTGGATCACCATTTCCTTCCTCTAGCCAGTCATTAAATATCGAAGTTCTCCAAGGTTCGATTCTAGGCTGCCTTCTTCTCTATTACTAATACTCTACTAATTGATTTTCTCTGTGCCCACTATCTTAATTATAACTCACATACAGCTGACATAACAGATTTATATCTCCAATCTAGATGGCTCCTCCAAGCTCTGAATTCTTATGCACAGCTGCTTCCTCTTTTTCTGTGTCTTAAAAGCACTTTAAAGTCAACGTGTCTAAGACCAAACTCATGGTCTTTCCCTAAGCCTCAAACTGTTCTATTTCATTTTTCTCTCATTAAGCAATTTAGAAACTTGGGAAGTATTCTTGGTGTATATTTCTAGTCCCTACCTCCCCTATCCCACTCTGACCTGGCCAATCTTATCTGTCACCAAGTGCTGTAGATTCAGTAAAGATTTCTCAAAGCCTGCCTGCCACCCCTCCAGAATATGCTACCACCTTTCTTCCTGGTCTATTGACGGAGTCCCCTAACTGGGTCTTTCCAAATGTATTCTTGCCTTGATCCATTATTTACATGATAGCCAGCGTGAACTAATCTTTTACTCTACCCCTCATAACCTTTCAGTGGCCTCTCTTTGCTTTTACAATAAAGATGAATTCTTAAGATGGATGAGGAGCCTCTCAGTCTGGTCTCTAGCTACCTCTCCAGCATCAGTTTTCATACTTTTCATTTCACTCTCTGTGTTCTGGTCACATTGGCTGCCTTCTTTGGTCCTTAAGCAGGACCAAGTCCTTAAGCTCCATCCTGCTAGAAAGCCTTTCCATGTTTTATTCCTTCTGCCTGAAACACTCTGCTCTACCCCTGCCTCTTCCTCAGCTGATTAGCTCCTCTTGCACCTGTGATCTCAAGGAGGCTTTCCCTGCGTCCTTCCCAGGTTATGTTCCCTGGTTATACCCTCTCAGAACATTATATACCTCATCTTCATGGCACAATTACAGTTTTTCATTTGTTTAGTGGCTGTCTGCCCCACTAGACTAAATGTTCCACGAGTGAAGGGTCATGCCTTGTATCAAGTCTCAGCATTGAACCAGTAGCACAGTGCCTGGCATATAATTCTGGAAAGAATTAATGAGTGTGTAATAGTTCTGACCCCATAGGAGAGTAGTGAGAATTAAATGATAAAAGGCCAAGCACATAATATCTGGTATTAAATTAAATTATCACACCACTCAAACCCAAATAGATGGGTAATTTTTATACATTAGATTTTCAGGGAACACAATATTTAAGTTATTGGAATTAGCATGCTTCTCCCTTTACATCTTTAAAAGTAACTTAAATATCATACTATAAATACCAAACATTCAAAATAGGTTGTCTCCTTTCTTACTCATTCTGAAAGGCCACAGTAAGCCAAGGAAACAGGGATGACCTGTCAGAGACTAGAATAGCTTCATGGGGGAGTGAGAAAAGGTCAGAAATGCTCTGGTGGAGGAAGTGATGGCAGCTGGGACCGCTGCTGCTCCTGCTGGGCTTGGCTGGTTACTGGTCAAAGGGAACAGATAAACAGCACCCTGAGCAGAAGCAGAATACTGGGTGACTGACACGGACTTTGTCCCAGTACCTCCACTGTGACACTGGGCAAATTACTTAACCCCCTAAGCCCTAGTTTGGACAGCTATAAAATAGGCATTGCCTAGTAGGTCTGCCTCCCAAAATCGACACAGTGATTTGTTACAAATGGTTGTGAAAGTACTTTGCAAACTAAGAAGTGCTGGAGTGTTAAGAAGATGGATTCAAAGAACAGTTGAAAGTTTGGAATTCACCAGGAGAATTTTTCTTACAGAATGGAACCAAGAAACTTGGTTAGGGAATCTTAAGGATGATTAAATATCAAATAAATCCTAATTATCTCTACCTAATCAAATTTTATTTCCATCAAAAATATTAATCATCTCTGATTACCCTTAATACTTAAACATCATTCCAGAGCTTGGATCCACCCTGGTTAATAATGCTTTTCTCTCCCTAGGTTGGCTCCCCACTAACTGGCTGAAAGGAGCTAAAGCGTGGGGCATGGTGAAAGGGGTGGTGATTATAGGAGAACAACACACCCTGCATCAGGGTTTCTCTGCAAGTTGTGGTGCTCTTCACTTGATTTGGGGTCATTGCCCATTGACTTGGCACAATTTCTCAAAGTGAGAAACTCTGCCTTGTCCTAGAATCAGTCGAATGAATCATTTTTTAATTTTGTGCTAATAGCCTGATGTGCTAATTCAGATGAATGAAAGCAGATCCTAAACTTAATTATTGATTGTGATTGCTTCTCTTCTTCCCACCTGTGGCAGCATAAGAACACTGCTACAAAAGAATGGATAGGGAAAAGGAGTTGAAATTCAAATCTATTTGGCATATCTATTTAAAGGTTCAATGGAAATAATCATGAACCTAATGGTCAAAATGAGTAGAAAGGATGTATTGGTAGTCTTGTATTAGCCATGATATAGAATGACCATGAATTATTTAGAACAGGCTTTATTAATTTTGCACAAATATTTGGAAAGTCAGGATGCCCAATAACATACCTGAGAATTGTGTTCTTCATGTTTAGGTGTATGCGATAATTTGACCATAAAAAGGTGGGGAGATGGGTTCTGACTTACGTCACATTAAATATTTGTGCACAGGATTCTTCAGTTTCTTTTTGTTTGTTTTTGTTTGTTGTTGTTGTTGTTGTTGTTTTGAGACGGAGTCTGGCTCTTGTTGCCCAGGCTGGAGTGCAATGGTGTGATCTCGGCTCACTGCAACCTCTGCCTCCCGGGTTCAAGTGACTCTCCTGCCTCAGCCTCCCAAGTAGCTGGGATTGCAGGTGCCAGCCACCATATCTGGCTAATTTTGTATTTTTAGTAGAGACGGGGTTTCACCATGTTGGCCAGGCTGATCTCAAACTCCTGACCTCAGGTGATCAACCCTCCTGGGCCTCCCAAAGTGCTGGGATTATAGGCGTGAGCCGCCGCTCCTGGCCCAATGTAAGTGTTTTAAATTGTTGTGCTGAGCAGTGAGATTTATATACAACCTTTGTATACAGAAAAGACCCTTCATCAGTGAGTACTTGTATCAACAGGAAATTGTGGTCAAGAGGAACCCCTGTAAAACAATTTTGATGAGCTCAGTAGAATTTCTGTTTTGTTAAAAGCAGAGCCATCATACCACCTGTTATACTTTAAACATTTTGGGATTTTTTCCATCTAATTCGTACATATGTAGTTTAAGGATTTTTTTTTTTTTTTTTTTTTTTTGGTCTATCTGAATGTGTTACATGCTCTTTGGGAACTGGCAAACAACAAAATGGAAAAAAATGTATTCACTTATATTGGCACCCCAAGTTATAACTATTGTTTATAACTAGTATTTATAATTGATACATTTTAGGGGAAATAATCTACAGTATATCTGAATCTATATTATAATAAACTATTATAGCAGGGTCTTATTTTAACAAAGGTATAGTTTGTACCACTTTGTAATATTTATTTTCTCTTATTTAAATACAGGTTTTCTTAGTTAAAAAAATCTCAGGCTCTGATGCTAGGCAGCTTTATGCCATGAAGGTATTGAAGAAGGCCACACTGAAAGGTAAGTGTTGCTGCTATTTGTAATGTTCATGTAGTCTAAACAAACTGAAAGGTCTCAATAGAGCTCATGGGACTCCTTGGCATGTTATTTACATTCTGAATAGGTTCCTGTTACCAGCTTTAAATTTGGATTGACTTTTAGTGAATTTTTCCTGCTGGGCTAGGAATCATTTAACTAGTGAGAACCAGAGTTGCCATGTATAAAAGAAGTATTATAAATTTATATTGGGTTTTATACAAGTAGACATTTAGAAGATTAAAACTGGGTTTGATTCATCTTCAGATTTATGTAATTATTTTAATGTTTTTTAAAATGTACTGATTTACTGGGTGCCAAATGCTTTTATTCTAAAGGATTTTATGACCTCTGGTCTCCAAATAAGTTTTTATTCTGAGCCTGTGATTTTGAAAACCCTAATGCAGGATTTGGTTCTCATAGGTAAAAAGTAGTTAGGAAGAGGCCGGGCACGGTGGCTCACGCCTGTAATCCCAGCACTTTGGGAGGCCGAGGCAGGCGGATCACCTGAGGTCAGGAGTTCGAGATCAGCCTGACCAACATGGAGTAACCCCATCTCTACTGAAAATACAAAAACTTAGCCAGGCGTGGTGGTGCATGCCTGTAATTCCAGCTACTCGGGAGGCTGAGGCAAGAGAATCGCTTGAACCTGGGAGGCAAAGGTTGTGGTGAGCTGAGATTGTGCCATTGCACTCCAACCTGGGCAACAAGGGCAAAACTCCCTCTCAAAAAAAAAAAAAGTAGTTAAGAAAATATAGATTTAAAAATACTTAACTCTTCCTTTAATTTAGTGGTATCACTTATTTTAACCTCATAACCTCTAGATGTTTTATGTATTGATTACTAAAAGTCCATTTTTTCCTCTTCAGTTTACATGTAATTTATAAAACTTTGAAAATATTCTCGAATATTTGCAATGATCATTTATTATTTCTGTTATTCCCAATTAGTCACCCACCATGGACATCCCAAGAAATTTCACCTCTCTCTATAAACACTGTCAATTGCTTCCATTCTGTTACTCCCTTCCTGAACATATTTTCTTTCCTGTCCAGTCCTACCCCATGGCATTACCACTTACTTGATTCCTGCTAGGACCAGGGAATTAAATTACATCCTCAATCCCCTACCTTTCTATCACTGCATTTGTGACTTTATACTCATGAGTCCCATGTTACAAAGCTGCATAGATGAAACTCAGAGAGTTCATTCACAAAAGCAACAAAAGTAGTTTGATTTTATGTATTTAACAGGATTTGTATTGTGCATAGTGTACATAAAGGAAACTACAAAACTCTGAGAAACCTAAAAGATACCAGGAAAGGAAATAAATGCCCAATCCCTATTAGAGAAGGCTAACTGTTAAGAATCTCGCTACTCCTCTAGCCACTCAGTTACCTCAATATCATTAAGATTCCAGTTGCATTTTCCTTAAAGCTTAACAAAATAATTCAGAATTTTATTTCCGAATCCAGAATATTTTGGAAAAGAAGAATAATAAGAGAACAAGCTCTCTCAGATCCTCATGCTTAAAGTAGCAGTAACTTAGTGTGTTATTGGGAGGAGTAATACAGGCATAGAATCAGTGGAACAAAATAGTACAAAATATATATATCAAATTTTAGTGTATTTGTTACAAAAATATTGAGTACCTGCCATGCTGTATGACAAAACAGGCATACAGAACAATGGGAAATTAAGTAATGATTTCATAAATTTTGTTTGAAATAACCCTGAGCTCAACCAGGCACAATGGCTCACACCTGTAATCCCAGCACTTTGGGAGGCCAAGGCAGGCGGATCACCTGAGGTTAGGAGTTTGAGACCAGCCTGCCCAACATGGCAAAACCCTGTCTCTAATTAAAAAAAAAAAAAAAAAAAAAAAAATTAGCCGGGCATGGTGGTGGGTGTCTGTAATCCCAGCTACTCGGGAGGCTGAGGCAGGAGAATCGCTTGAACCCGGGAGGCGGAGGTTGCAGTGAGCTGAGATCGCACCACTGCGCTCCAGCCTACGCGACAAGAGCAAAACTCCGTCTCAAAAAAAAGAAAAAAAAGAAAAAAGAAATACCCCTGAGCAACCTGGAAAATAACACCGTAACAAACTCCACCCTAACTGAATTTTACAACTTAACACATCTAGGAAACTTGTGAGGAAATATTGAGCAAATTACAAACAAATTAGTAATTTAAAAATTTTTGACATTTCATATAATGAAAAATAGTATAAATAGGAAGACAGGAAAATGTATTAATGTAAGGAGTTAGCTAAGGGGCTTCTACTGGCCAAATCTGGGGCAACTTAAACATTGCAATAATAAATGATAGTGATAGATTACGACCCAGTTGAATAAAATAAGAAGCCATAGGTTAATTCATAAATTAATTAATGGGGGAAAAGGGAAAACTCTTTCTTGCAATATAATTCCAACTAATAAATGTAAAAAGAATGAAGGAGTTAGGAATTGATAAGAAATACCATTATATCCTCCATCTGGAGGATTTTGAATAAAGTTTACACAAGGAGATAAATAATCTTTGGGGAAATGTTCAGTTTTGGTGAAAGTTAAAGATGCATATTAAAATAATAAAGTTTGCTGGGCATAGTGGCTCACACTTGTAATCCTAGCACTTTGGGAGGCTGAGGCGGGAGGATGGCTTGAGGCCAGGAGGTCAAGACCAGCTAGGGCAATATAGCATGACCCTGTCTCTACAAAAAATGAAGATAAAATCAGATTGGTGTAGTGGTGCAAGCCTGTGATTCTAGCTACTCTGGAGGCTGAGGCAAGAGGATCTCTCGAGCCCAGGAGTTTGAGGTTGCAGTGAGCTGTGATCACACCACTGTACTCCAGCCTGGGTGGCAGAGTGAGATGAATGCATGTTATTTCATATGATAGCAGCATAAATTGGAAAAGCCATTATTGCTGCTACATTAACCTAAGGAAATAGCTTCAAAAAATGGATTCATAGGCTTGAAAATTCTTGTTGCAACATTATTTACAATAGCAAGAAGTTAGAACTCACATACACACTGGAAAACTAGAGGAATTGTGACCAGTTATAGTGGCTCATTCCTATAATTCCAGCACTTTGGGAGGCTGAGGTGGGAGGATTGCCTGATCTCAGGAGTTCAAGACCAGCCTGGGCAGCATAGTGAGACCTCATCTCTACAAAAAATCAAATAATTAGCCAGGCATGGTGGTGTGTGCCTGTAGTCCCAGCTGACTGGGGGGGCTAAAGCAGGAGGATCACTTGAGCCCAGGTCTTCAAGGTTACAATGAGCTTTGATTGCACCACTGTATTCCACCCTGGGTAGAGGGAGATCCTGTCCCTAAAAAAAAATTTTTAATAAGGAAAAATAGAGGAATGTTATAAAATTATGGTTTACCACTTAGGATATTATTAAAATAAAGTATCTTAAATATAATTACAAAAATGAATGTAGTGAAAATTAGAACAAATTGGGCTACTACAAGTATGTAAAATTGTATAGATATAAGCTATAAAAGAGATCATAGAAAAATGAAAATATTTGACTTACTGGAACTTTGCTGAATAATTCTGAATGTGTTCTTAAATTTTTATTTTTATCAAAAGAATATCTGTAGAGTCTTATCATATAACATAGCTATGCTTTGCCCACCCTCCTGCCTATCCTAATTCTTGAACCCCAGAGACAATGACTTTCATCTCTTTAGCTGCTGCCATTTACATTTATATTCAACACTTTTATATTGCAATTCTTTGTTTTCATTTGGAGACATAATCTATTGCCTTTCTAACATGGAAGACTAAGATTCAGTTCTCTCATGCTGCCACCCACTCACAGATTCCTTTTTCACATCTTCCCAATAATGTTTTCATTGTTATAGCTTTATAAAAATTGTTCCTAGCTAAACGAAATAGTATACTAGAGTCACATTTCCTTCACTTCTTTTCTGTATTCAGTCTCTTTTCCTAAATTCTGTACCTACTTTTTTCTCAGTTTACTTTTTAGTTTTGATGGAACACGTCTTCTCATAGCTACCTCAGAATGAGTAAATGGATACTAAATTTTTTGTGACCCTCCATGTCTGGAAATGGCTTTATTCTACCCCCTCACTTAGTTTATAATTTGGCTGAGTATAAAATTCTAGGTCAGAAAGAATTTTCCACCAGATATTTGAAGGTGTTGCTTCCATTGTCTTCTAGTTTCCTGTGTTATAGTGATGAAGTTAATTGCTGGTGTCACTCCCAGTCCTTTGTGTGTAAGCTGCTTTTCCTCTTTGGAAGTCTTTAGAATCTACTCTTTATTCCTGGTGTTCTGAAATTTGTATAGTGGTATTCTTGAGTGTGGGTTTCTAAAACTATGTCATATCATATATGAGGTGGTCTCTTTCAACCTAAAAACTCGTTTCTTCAGTCTTGGGAAAGTTTTTGTCATTTATTCTACATTTGTAAGTGCTACTCTTTGGAATATGTTGGTTAAACTTCCTGAATTGTTCCTTAATTTTCTTTATTTTTCCATCTTCTATTTTCCATTTTTTCTATTTTCTGTGAAATTTCTTCAACCATCTTCCAACCCTTCTATTGACCTTTCTGTTTCTGCCATCGCTTTTCATTTCCTAGATTTTCTTGTTCTCTTATTATTTCATTAAAACATTTTTTAATTATGGAAAGTATCAAACATTTAAGAAAGAGACAGAAGAATATAGTGAGGCCCCATATACCCTTCTCCCTGCTTCAACATTTATCAACTCATGGTCAGCCTTTTTTCATCAGTGTTCTCCTTCTTCTCCTCTTGATATTTTGAATGAAATCTCAGATACTATAGAATTTCTTCATAAATATTTTAGTATATATCTCTAAAAGATAGACTCCTGGCTGGGTACGGTGGCTCACGCCTGTAATCCCAGCACTTTGGGAGGCCGAGGCGGGTGGATCACGAGGTCAGGAGTTTGAGACCAGCCTGGCCAACCAATATGGTGAAATCCCCTCTCTACTAAAAATACAAAAATTAGCTGGGCATGGTGGCGGGCACCTATAATCCCAGCTACTCGGGAGGCTGAGGCAGGAGAAGTGTTTGTACCCAGGAGGCAGAGGTTGCAGTGAGTTGAGATCACGCCAATGCACTCCAGCCTGGGCAACAGGGCGAGACTCTCTCAGAAAAAAAGACTCCTAAAAGAAATAATTCAACTGTATTATCATACCTTAAAAATGAGCATAAAGATATCCAGTCTTTGTTCACATTGCTAGTTGTCCCTACTATTAAAATTTGTGTTTCTTTATGCAGTCTGTTTAAATTAGGATTCATACATATAAGGTCTCAACTTTGCAATTGGTTGATATCTTTTTAAGTCTTTTCATCTATGAGCTCTTTCTCTATTTCTTATCTTTTTCTTGTAGTTTATTTGTTGAGGATACTTGTTTCTTCCTCCACCCCACCACCCTTTTTAAACAAGAACAAGAAGCTTTAAAAAGGGTGAGGTGCCATATTATCTTTGCTCCCACAATGGACATAAATTACAAGAATGAGTTTTGTTTTGTTGTGTTTAAGTTATCTTCTGTTCCTCACATTGTTTGTTTCCCTTTATTCCATTTTTTCTGTTTATTTTGATGTTTTTCATGTTTAGAGCCTTTATCCAAATGCTTGGGGATCTTTTGCTATCTTTTCTTTAAGAGTCAGCTGCTAGAAAGCTAATTGGAAAGAGTTCAATGGCAAGAATTTGCTTATTTTTCATTGGCTTCCTTTCCTTAGGCTTAGATTTTTAGCTTTCTCTGGTCTGCTTTGTTAGTTTACCACTTACCCATCTTCTACTATTGCTTCCTGTCCTTGTGAGTTGATGCAGTTTTTCTATTATTGTCATTTCCATGGGGTTTTGGGAGAATGTAGAGAGTAGAATATCCATGTTTAAACAGAAGTCTCTTCCCATTTTAAAGTTCCTATTAATACGATAAATGGGACCAAATAGAAGTCAATAACGTTAGATAAAGTTAGTGGGGACTTCTATCCTATTAAAGTGGTCTGTTTGTCTAAAAGCTTTTGTAAACTGCTTAAAAAGGTTTCTTAATACATAGTCCTAGAAACATAAACAACATTTCTTCTTCTTCATTCTCATGTTCAGTCAAGAAGGGCTTAAATCTAATAATTACTCTAGAAGAAAAAATATTTCAGAGGAATCTAGTTGCTTTGCCAGCATGAGTTAGTATTAACGAATTCTGTGTTGGGATTAGAAGCTGGCCAATATAAAACATGCCTTCTTCTGAATTAGTATATACTAATCAAAATTCCTCATGATAGGATGATTTAGAATTGTCACTAGGTCTTCACATAAACAAAAGAAACGAGATTAGAATTATGACACAGGCCTACCTTAGACAAAATGAAGGAATTCTTTAGTGAAGGACTCTCACTGCTCATTTTCAGTTAAACAAGGTCTCATCAATGTTACATATAAGGAAATGTTGAAGAGAAAACTATCTCACAAGAAAATCATGTTGGTTCCAATCCTTCATTTTATAGAAGAGGAAACAGGAAATCCCGAGAAATGAAATTATTTGACCAAGGTAGTTATGAGTTCATCTAGTTATTAGTATAGCCACTGAACTACAGTTTAGTTGGCTTGACTCCCAAATAATTGTTCTTTTCATTGTGGTAAAATAAGAGAAGAGGGATATACAGTGCATGTATCGATGGATATTTTTGCTGCTTACTGAGCAGAGGAGGTATTTTTAAGTGATAAGCCTTATATACTTACTGAAAGATGTAGGACTTTGGAATCCACCTTTAAGGTGATAGGAACTAATCCAAAATTGTGTGATAATAATGAGAAAAGGATAGATTTAGGCTAGACTAGAACTAGAAATATCAGCAGGTATTGGTGATAAACTTCACTCACATAAAAAGTACAAAGGGCATATCAGGCTGGGCATGGTGGCCTATGCCTATAATCCCAGTAATTTGGGAGGCCGAGGCAGGTGGATCACCTGAGGTCAGGAGTTTGAGACCAGCCTGGCCAACATGGTGAAACCCCGTCTCTATTACAAATACAAAAATTAGCCAGATATGGTAGCGCAAACCTGTAATCTCAGCTACTCGGGAGGCTGAGGCAGGAGAATCGCTTGAACCAGGAGGGGGAGGTTGCAGTAAGCCGAGGTCGCACTACTGCAGTCCAGCCTGGGCGATGGCGATACCCTATCTCAAAAAAAAGAGGGCATATCAAATATAACAAGGAAGACACCAGAGTTGTATCAATAGGGCAAGGTAGTGAAATCAGAGATTGCTATTGAATTTGATATACTAACTGGACAGGTCAGTTAAAAGAGCTGCATAGACATCAAGAGCAATTGATTCCTATTTCTGATTTGCCCATTTTCAGTCAGTGGCATGAAAATCTCCCAGTTGGGGATAGAAAACTGGTAGAATGGAAAAAATAGGGCATTTTTTAGCTGCTTTGTTTATTTTCCCCAGAGGTCTTATTTCTATATTTTAAATATCTGCATTCACCCTAAACTGAAAATAAAACCAACTCAACTTTCTCCCTCCACCAGAGAGTCTCCTATTTGTTCTATTTTAATGTTTCATATAACCATTCAGAGTACTTAGAATGTATTATAATCATTTATTTACTTGTCTGTCCGTCCCACTGGATCAAGAGCTTCTTGAAGATTATCTTATTTGTATGTATATCCCTAGTGCATTGCACATACACTTTGCTCAGGAAATATTTGGTTGCTGAATAAAAGCTTTGCTCACAGGGTCAAATGTAAATTCATCTTGGCATTCCAACTTGTCAAGAATCTGGATCCTCCCCATTTCGCCTTGGCACAGTAGTAAATCTCATTTGATTCCTTCTTGTTCATCGTTCATGCCTTCATGTCTTTGCTTGCACTGGGTATTCCGTGCTTAGACTCTTGTTTTCTAGGGCCTATCCTTCCTACCCATCTAAATATCCCCTCCAAAAGTCTTAAAGCTTGCGCCCTGACCCTACGTCTTTCTTCTAGCCTTCCTATGCAAGTAAGACGGATCTTGCCGTTCTCTGAATCCCGCAGTACTCATTGCTGGTAGTAAATTATTTTATCCCTTAATCATATTCATGGTGCTACTTTGGATATAATAACAGTAGCTACCATTTAATTGAATATCTCATACATACCAGGCTCTAGGTACATACCTTATCTCAAATGGTCACATGCTCCTCAAAGCTACAGTAGTGTTATCCCTATTGTATAGCCGAAAGGTAACTGAGTCTCAATTTAAATAAGTATCTTGTTTGTGATTGTACAGATCTTGTGATGCTTAAGTTTTTGTCAAAAAAAAAGATTGCACAGATCTGAATTCATATCTTTCTGTCTAAACTCCAAAAAACGTTTGCTCTTTCAGCTGTACCACAGTATGTTCTCTCTCTCTCCCTCTTGCTTCCTTTCTTCTTCCCTCAAAATAGACCTCTTTGGATATAACTGTCCTTTACCCCATGTCTGCCCCATTTTAGGTATGCTTAATGAATGAATGTTGAGTTTGATTGATAGGACTGATGGAATGTTGAAGCGTATTTGTTTTTTATGTTTTACTATTAGGATGCCTTGTTTTTTAAAAGTCACATGCTTTTTTGTCATTTGTCACAGCTGTGATTAAAATACTTGTGCATTTGATGTTAAAGCCAATACCTAATATTTTCTCTGTATTTTTTCCAACTTAAAAGCATGGATTTTATAAATATACACTACTTCCTTTGGTTATGTAATGTAGTAAAAGATATCATTATTTATTTTGTAAATTCAAGAATGACAAAACATTCACGTTTTAGTACACATAAGCAAAATTTTATTTAACATGGGCACAAAAAAGAATTTGTTTTGAAGATTATCTTTGAAAGATATTACAATGTAGCATACATACAATCTTTTATAGTTCGAGACCGAGTTCGGACAAAAATGGAACGTGATATCTTGGTAGAGGTTAATCATCCTTTTATTGTCAAGTTGCATTATGGTAAGTATGAACCATCTCCCACATCATCCCTTCACCTCATCCCTCAGAATCCCTGAGGACATTCAGATAAACTAATATAAATATATATATATATATATATTTGTATGTGGTTAGCAGATCTTTTATAGTAAAAAGTCATGAAAATTAAACCATTATTTCTTAGACAAATTTTAGAAGCTTTTATTGTGTTTAGCTTATGTTTTTAAAAAATATTATAAAGTTAGTTTCTGAGTGGTAGCCATAGGAACAGGTAATGATAATTATTGCTTTTTTACTGTAATAATAATGAATAATAATATGCTAGCCTTTTATAGCCTATATGTGTTAGCCAACCCCAAAGGCCAAAGAGATCCCTAATGTGAACATCCTAAAACCATTGTCACTGCTGTTCTTTTCCCCAAAGCCATATGCTTTTTCTCAGTGGGTAAAAGTGTGATGATTCTTACTATGTATGATTAAACCTAACCAACCCACATTTTTTTCTGTAGCTAGTGGCATGGTTTTTGTATGTTATTTCATAGTTAAGTAAGTCGTTTTTTGTTAGGAGTTTTTCTTATGTATCATGGGTTTAGAACTGGTGTATTCCTGAGTGACTTGCCTGTTGAAAATCTAGTGATTCTATAATAAGCACTGTATTTAACATTTCCACATGGAAACTAAGATAAATCAGTGCTTTTCTTCTAAGTAAAAGTAAGTTTGGACATTCAATATAATTAATTTGCTAAAATATTCATTTGTGAATGACCTAATGTAAGCCTAAAAAAATTACGGTGAACTAAATGAAAATTTTCATTTCTTCATTCAGCTTTTCAAACTGAAGGGAAGTTGTATCTTATTTTGGATTTTCTCAGGGGAGGAGATTTGTTTACACGCTTATCCAAAGAGGTATATAATTAATCTCTATTTTTAATCTATTTATATGCATCGTGTTTGAACTAAAGCTTTGTTATATTTCAGTATTATGCTTACTGTATTTTCTCTAGTGGCACAAGATTCTTGAAGAATCAGACCCAAAAAGAGTTCTTTTCCTACCTTTTGAATTTATTCTGAAAGCAGGACTTTAAAATGACAAACAGTCTTTGTCTTAACTCTGCTTCTTTTATAGTTTTTTCCAGAAGCAATAATGTATCAACAAGTTATCCTTAAACAATTAGTACTGGAAATGAAGTGTGCATTTTAAAGATCACTTTTCATTTCTAAAATGTTACTGTCATGGGACAACAGTGGCACAACCTGAATATACTTGTTACTTAACAACAAAATGTAAAATTATTTCTCCCATAGTGTATAGTTAGTATTTAGTAAGTGATTTGTTGACTGATTAGATAATTTTGCAAATTTCTTTCATGAGTAAATTGTAAACAAAGCTATGTATAATTATCATATTTATAAAATTTTTAGGATATTTAAACTCTAGAGTGGAACTTTGAAAATTACAGACACAAAAAGAAAATAAATTTAGAAACATTATTGTTTTATTCTAGGTGATGTTCACAGAAGAAGATGTCAAATTCTACTTGGCTGAACTTGCACTTGCTTTAGACCATCTACATAGCCTGGGAATAATTTATAGAGACTTAAAACCAGAAAAGTAAGGAATCATGCTACTAAGTTGAATACAATGTAATATAATTGTTTAGGAGATTATAAAAAAAATCAAGTGACTTCATGAAACTCCACAGTATTGCCCTAGCGTGCCTGTGCTTCACATCTCTGCTAACACTGTAGTTTCATACTTTAAAAATCTCATTTAATCAAAAAATACTTTTTTACGTGTGCATTCTTTGATTTTTTTTTTTTTTTTTTTTTGAGATGAAGTTTTGCTCTTGTTGCCCAGGCTGAAGTGCAGTGGTGCAATCTCAGCTCACTGCAATCTCCACCTCCCAGATTCAAGCAATTCTCCTGTGTTAACCTCCCGAGTAGCTGGGATTACAGGTGCCTGCCAACACACCCAGCTAATTTTTGTATTTTTAGTAGAAGCAGGGTTTCACCATGTTGGCCAGGCTGGTCTTGAACTCCTGACCTCAGATGATCCACCTGCCTCAGCCTCCCAAAGTATTGGGATTACAGGCATGAGCCACCACAGCCGGCCCATTTTTTAATTTTTAATGAGGTTGAAATCTACATTCATTGGCAATTTGTATTTTTGTGTGAATTTTCTGCTCATAGCCTTTGTTCATTTTTCTTTTGGAATGTTATTTTTGGCCTGGCATGGTGGCTCACACCTGTAATCCAAGCACTTCTGGGAGGCTGAATTGCATAAGCCCAGGAGTTGGAGACCAGTGTGGGCAACATGGCAAAACCCCATCTCTACAAAATACTAGCTGGGCATGGTGGCACACGCCTGTAGTCCTGACTACTCAGGAGGCTGAGGCAGGAGGATTGCTTGAGCCTGGCGCATCGAGGCTGCAGTGAGCCAAGATCGCTCCGTTGCACCTCCAGCCTGGGCAACAGAGTGAGACCCTGTCTCAAAAAAAAAAAATTACATTTTTTCTAGTCTTTCCATTTTAACTTTATGTTGTTTAATTTATGCATTTTTTTTCTTCAGGCAGATCTACCAATCTTCTTTTGTGATTTATTCTGACTTTCATTCTTAGGCTTTCCCGAGTTCTGTGATCAGATATTTTCCTTCTAATTTTATAGTTTCTTTTTTTTTTCTTTTAACTCCATTTTTTAGAAACTTTTTGGTAGGAGGGTTGATATAGAGCTAACCCTTTCTTTCCCCCAAATACCATTTATCGAAAATTTTCTTCTCCATGTAGTTTCAAATTTTAAGTGTGAGATGAGCAAATTTCCCACAGGTTTGATAGTAACAGTCATCAAGAAGCGGATATTATTTGAATTGTACACACTTCTGTTTTAATTTGTTAATGTTTACCACTGAGTAAGAAAGGTTTCCCCCTCCCTTTTTATAAGCATATAAGCACAAGCCTTGCTCTACCAGGAATATTTTTAAACAGCTTTATTGAGTCGTAATTCATATGTTAAACAAATCATTGCCTGGATGCAGTGGCTCATGCCTGTAATCCCAGCCCTTCGGGAGGCCGAGGTAGGTGGATCACTTGAGGTCAGGAGTTTGAGACCAGCCTGGCCAACACGGTGAAACCCCGTCTCTATTAAAAATACAAAAATTAGCCGGGCGTGGAGGCGCACACCTGTAATCTCAGCTACTCGAGAGACTGAGGCAGGAGAATCGCTTGAATCCAGGAGGTGGAGGTTGCAGTGAGCTGAGATGGTGCCACTGCACTCCAACCTGGGTGACAAGAGTGAAACTCAGTCTCAAAAAATGAAAAGTGTATAATTCATTGATTTTTAGTATATTCACAGAGTTGTACAACCATCATATTTATCAAGAATTTTGAATATTACGGATATGAACAGACACTTCTCAAAAGAAGACATTTATGTGGCCAACAAACATATGGAAAAAAAGCCCATCATCCCTGGTCATTAGAGAAATGCAAATCAAAACCACAATGAGATACCATCTCATACCACTTAGAATGGCAATCATTAAAAAGTCAGGAAACAACAGATGCTGGAGAGGATGTGGAGAAATAGTAACGCTTTTACACTGTTGGTGGGAGTGTTAATTAGTTCAATCATTGTGGAAAACAGTGGCGATTCCTCAAGGATCTACAACCAGAAATACCATTTGACCCAGCAGTCCCATTACTGGGTATATACCCCAATGATTATAAATCATGCTGCTATAAAGACGCATGCACGTGCATGTTTATTGCAGCGCTATTCACAATAGCAAAGACTTGGAACCAACCCAAATGCCCATCAATGCTAGACTGGATAAAGAAAATGTGGCACATATACACCATGGAATACTATGCAGCCATAAAAAAGGCTGAATTCATGTCCTTTGCAGGGACATGGATGAAGCTGGAAACCATCATTCTCAGCAAACTAACATAGGAACAGAAAACCAAATACTGCATGTTCTCATAAGTGGGAGTTGAACAATGAGAACGCATGTACACAGGGAGGGGAACATCACACACTGGGGCCTGTCAGGAGCTGGGGTCTAGGAGAGGGATAGCATTAGGAGAAATGCCTAATGTAAATTATGGGTTAATGGGTACAGCAAACCACCATGGCATGTGTATACCTATGTAACAAACCTGCACGTTCTGCACATGTATCCTAGAACCTAAAGCATAATAAAAAAAAAAGTTAGTATGAAATGTAAATTATATATTAACACCGGAAGAGGGGAAATGCTCATCTGGAACTCTTCTAAGTGATCATTTAGAAATTGTTATACTTTTATATTTTATGTTTGTTTTTTGTTTTTGGATAAGTTTCATATGGTTTTGTTTTTATTCCCCAAATAACTGCTGAGTGTTCCTGATTATTTTCCCAACTTATAACTATTGTGACACAAAATATAATTATTGGTGAGAATGAATATTCAAGCATATAGTCCTTAGAAAAATTACTATAAACATAAGATTAAACATTCATAAAAATGTGTTTTATACTATTTAATTGAATATATTTACCATAGACCATTGTATTGGCATTGGTCATAAAGTTATATTAAAGTATGAGCCTTGTCTCAAGGCTTTAATAAGATCAGATGTAGAGAAGATTGCTTATATTAAGATCTTAAACATACATGTCTAGATGATGCTATTAATTCGAAATAACACTTGGTAAATCATACAAGTAAATACCATCATACAGAACTTAGGAGGAATTTAAATTTTTAGGCCAAATATTTTATGAACTGTTAAGAGTTTTTCAGATTCTTTTAAACTAGAACTCTGTTATAATAAATATGACTAAAAATAATTAGTAACCATTGAAAAGGAATGTTGTTTATTGAGAGTGATACAGTTGACTTTTTCTTTCAAAGATACACTATAAGCATGGTTATCTTAAAAGAATGCATTTGCTATAGAAGGCACAACTAATGCCCTTTCAGCCATATTATCCTTTTTTCTTTCAGAATTACCAAGAATGACTTGAAGTTTGTTTTGTTTTTAGAACTGTTTTTCGTGTTTTCATTAGAAGGGAGGATGATTTCTATAGTACCTAATAATGCCCTTTATATTCTCTAAATGTGTTGATCTCTTCATAATTAAGCATAATCAATACTAATATTTTTCATAACAAGTGCTTGTGATGAAAGAAACTTGAAAAATATGTCCCTACTGAATTACCTTCAGTGGTAAACTTTGTTGTAATTATGTTTGCATTTATGAAATAGAAAGGTTGGTAATATTTTTGTTATAGTAAAATTTTGTAACAAAATTTGACTTGCACATTTTTTAGTTAAAAGTAAGGAAATGCCTATATTGTGGGATAGCTTTAAATATAAGTCAAACAGTTTATTGCTTGACCCCATACCTATCCAGAAATATTAGGTTGGTGCAAAAGCAATTGCCGTTTTTGCCATTACTTTTAATTACTTCTGCACCAACTTAACACAATTATTGGCTTACAGCTTAGTACTCTCTCCTTTCTGTAGCTCCTTGATTAATAGTATTACTCTCCACTCAAGTATCTGCTCAAGCCAGAAATGTGAGTGTCATTCTCCAGTTGTTCTTTATTATGACCCAGTGAGTTCACTAAATGCACTTTATTTTGTCTGTAAATTTCTCTACCCTCCATGAATGTACACCTTTTATGGTCTCCCTTGTCCTTGAGAAGAAGCCCAAACTATTTGGAATGCCCTGTAGGCTCTTTGCAAACAGGCCTTATTCATTCAGCATTTCTTATTTGTACTGTACACTGCCAGACACTGAGCTATAAAGATGAATAAGGTCAAACCTTCTAGGAGCTCACAGTTTTTGGGGAAGAGAGAAAACCTGGAAAATATGTATAGTGAAGGGAGGGATCAATGAAAAACAAGGAGTATGGGGAGGGAGAAGAAGATTGTGTAAAGGTCGTGTCAGGAAAAATAATAATAAGGAAATAATGATTGAGTCAGATACCTTTAAAATGACCAAGACAGCTGGGCACGCAGTGGCTCACACCTTAGGGAATAATCCCAGGACTTAGGGAGGCAGAAGCAAGAGGATAGCTTGAGCCCAGCAGTTCAGGACCTGCCTGGGCGACATAGTGAGACCCTATTCTCCACAAAAAGGAAAAAAAGGCAAAATAAAATAACCAAGAGAATGACACGTCTGATGCTTTTGAATTAAATGTGTGGACCCTCTGTCTATTAATGCAGGCACTAGGGGATTTAGTCAAACTACGTCTGCAGAAAGGCATTAGAAAGAGCAGCTGGGAAGAGTACAGGTGATTTGATTCTTTTCCTAATAATTTTCAAGTACCCCTGGCATATTAATACAAGTTTATGGCATTGCCTTTGGGATTTGTTATAAATGTGTGTCCAAAAAATAATTTGTTCCTCCTTTGCCTTTGCCATCTTATTCACAGTCTAAAGCAATATTTTAGAATAAATATGGTGATCTGATGCTTAAGGATGTAATTTCAGTCTTAGCTTCTATAAATCTCTGTTTAGTGTTCTTAAAAGATTTTCTTTGCTTTTTTCAGCATACTTCTTGATGAAGAAGGTCACATCAAGTTAACAGGTAAAAAAAAAAAATCCTCATTTTATTAAAATATTTTCTCCTACAATATATACTTTCCTTTAAGGTTGATTGAGGTACAAATATTGAGTAATACACTGTATTAAAATTAAAAACTTGTATTAGAGCCAGGCGTGGTGGCTCACCCCTGTAATCTCAGCATTCTGGGAGGCCGAGGCAGGTGGATCACTTGAGGTCGGGAATTCAAGACTAGCCTGGCCAACATGGTGAAACCCCATTTCTATTAAAAACACAAAGAAATGAGTTGAGCGTGGTGGTGCACGCCTATAATCCCAGTTACTTGGGAGGCTGAGGCAGGAGCATCACTTGAACCCGGGAGGCAGAGGTTGCAGTGAGCCAAGATGGCGCCACTGTACTCCAGCCTGGGCGACAGAGTGAGACTCCATCTCAAAAAAACTAAAACAGAAAAAAACTTGTATTAGAAAATTTAAATGATTAATGTCAGAACTCAAAGTTTAAAATTTACGTGTGCAAATTTATGTAGGATATTTATATTTGTTTTGGCAGATTTTGGCCTAAGTAAAGAGTCTATTGACCATGAAAAGAAGGCATATTCTTTTTGTGGAACTGTGGAGTATATGGCTCCAGAAGTAGTTAATCGTCGAGGTCATACTCAGAGTGCTGACTGGTGGTCTTTTGGTGTGTTAATGGTAAGGTTTGAATTTGGGGTTTTTTGGTGGGGGGAAGGAGGTTGTTTGTTAAGTGAGGATTAGCAGTGAATATTAAAGAAACTGGTGTTTTTATTTTATTTTATACCATATGTAATAAGTAACCAAGAAAAATTATTATATGCAGTATAGAAGGACTATGAAATCTATTAGCTGCTTCTATCTCGTCCTAATTTGAAAAGGCAAAAAAATATATATATATATTACCATAGATTTCCTGCTAATAGTAACAATCTAAAGCATTAATGGTATTTACTCTTTTGGAGAAACTGGTCCAGAAATCTATTAGTAAGTGACCCTTAAAATAAGTTCGTTTGGTTGGATGCAGTGGCTCACACCTGTAATCCTAGCACTTTGGGAGGCTGAGGCGGGTGGATCACCTGATGTCAGGAGTTCAAGACCAGCTTGGCCAACATGGCAAAACCCCATCTCCACTAAAAATACAAAAATTAGCCAAGCAGAATGGCATATGCCTGTAATCCCAGCCACACAGGAGACTGAGACTGGAGAATTGCTGGAACCTGGGAGGCAGAGGTTGCAGTGAGCCAAGATAATGCCACTGCACTCCAGCCTGGGCAACAGAGCAAGACTCCGTCTCAAAAAAAATAAAATAAGTTCTGCCAGGCGCGGTGGCTCACGCCTATAATCCCAGCACTTTGGGAGGCCGAGGCAGACAGATCACTTAAACTCAGGAGTTCGAAACCACCCTGGCCAACATGGTAAAACCCCGTTTCTACTAAAAATACAAAAATTAGGCTGGGCGTGGTGACTCATGCCTGTAAAACCAGCCTGGACAACATGGTGAAACCCCATCTCTACTACAACTACAAAAAATTAGCCAGGCATGATGGCACACACCTGTAATCCCAGCTACTTGGGAGGCTGAGGCAGGAGAATCACTTGAACCCAGGAGACGGAGATTGCAGTGAGCCAGGATCGTGCCACTGCACTCCAACCTGGGTGACAGAGTGAGACTGTGTCTCAAAAAAAATAAAATGTAAGTTCATATGAAATTGGCATATTTATCAAATTGTTCACATATCTACACTTTAAAATTGCCATTTGAAATGTGATTGTTGAAGCTGAGCATGGTGGCCCATGCCTCTAATCCCAGCACTTTGAGAGGCTGGAGGGGGAGGATCCCTTGAGTCCAAGAGTTCAAGACCAACCTGGGCAACATACTGAGACCTCGTTTCTACAAAAAAATATGTACAAAATTAGCCAGTCATGGTGGCACAGGCTTGTAGTCCCAGCTATTCGGGAAGCTGAGGTGGGAGAATTGCTTGAGCCCAGGAGATGGAAACTGCAGTGAGCTGAGATTGCACCACTGCACTCCAGCCTGGGCTACAGAGCCAGGCCCTGTCTCAAAAATAAAAATGTGATTGATTTCCATAAAAAAAAAAAAAAAAACTGTATAGCTCAGTTGTTTTAGGATTATCAAGAACTTCAGTAACGAATATGGTAGAAATAGAAAACACTTATTACATAGCAATTTTAAAATATTTGAATATAATTAAGATGATGCTTTTTTTGCCTTCTGGCCTTGAGATTTTATATTTATTGACTAATACTTCTGATTGTTTTGCCTTTCTGTAGTTTGAAATGCTTACTGGTACACTACCTTTCCAAGGAAAAGATCGAAAAGAAACAATGACTATGATTCTTAAGTAAGTACTCCCTTAATATAGATATTTTGATGAGATTTTAAAATAAATGCTTCAGGCTGGGCGCCGTGGCTCATGCGTGTAATCCCGGCACTTTGGGAGGGCGAGGCAGATGGATCACTTAAGATCAGGAGTTCGAGACCAGCCTGGCCAACATGGTGAAATCCCATCTCTACTAAAAATACAAAACTTAGCCGGGCGTGGTAGTGCACACCTGTAGTCTCAGCTACTCGGGAGACTGAGGCGGGAGAATCCCTTGAACCCGGGAGGTGGAGGTTGCAGTGAGCTGATGTCACACCACTGCACTCCATCCTGGGCAACAGAGCGAGACTCTATCTCAAAAAAAGTAAAATAAAATAAATGTTTCACACTAAAAAAATGAGATTTTAGAGTGTTGGCTGTAGTATAAGAAATAATTAAGAAATTCATCAATATTACATCGTTTGAATATGAACAGACTGCATAGATTTAGAGTACTCATATTATCTTCATGTTAATAGTGAAATACTGAAAGCTTTACTTTTGAGATTTGTAATATGACAAGGATGCCCATTATTTCACTTCTGTCCACATTGTCCTGGAAGTCCTAGCCAATATGGTAAGTCAAGCAAAAAAGTAAAGTATAAGGTTTAAAAAGAAGAAATAAAATTATCATTATTTAGATAACATGACTGTATCCATAGAAGATCTAGTCATCAACCTGCACAACATAGCAAAACCCTGTCTCTACAAAAAAATGCAAAAATTAGCCAGTCATGGTGGTAAGCACCTGTATTCCCAGCTACTTTGGGGGGTAGGGGATGGGGACTAAGACAGGAGGATAATTTGAGCCCAGGAGGTTGAGGCTGCAGTGGACTGAGATGGTTCCACTGCACCCCAGCCTGGGTGACAGAGCAAAACCCTGTCTCAAAAAAGAAAGGAAAATCCAGTGATCATATAAATTCTTGGAATTAATAAGAGTTTAGCAAAGTTACTGGATACAAGGTAAATAAACAAAAATCTATTCTGTGTCTCTATACTAGCAAAAGAAAATGGAATTTTTATCCGGGCAAAGTGGCTCACGCCTGTAATCCCAGCACTTTGGCAGGCCGAGGCGGGCAGATCACCTGAGGTCCGGAGTTCGAGACCAGCGTGGCCAACATGGCGAAACCCTGTCTCTACTAAAAATACAAAAAATTAGCCGGGCATGGTGGCAGGCGCCTGTAATCCCAACTAGCCGGGAGGCTGCAGCAGGAGAATCACTTGAACCTGGGAGGTGGAGGTTGCAGTGAGCCAAGATCGTGCCACTACACTCCAGCCTGGGCAACAAGAGTGAAATTCATCTCAAAAAAAAAAAAAAAAAATGGAATTTTCAAAGAGGTTACTGTTTACAACGATGTAAAAATTCTCAGATACCTAATGATAAATCTAGCAGAAGTTATGTAAGACCTCTGTTGAAAAAACCAGAAAATTTTATTTAAAGAAATTTTAAAAGACCAAAATAACTTGAAAGGATATACTGTGTTCATGTTATGACAGACCCAGTGTTGTAAAGATAACAGTTCTATAGATCAGTGTTATCCACTAGAAATACAATGTGAACCAGCCAGGCATGGTGGCTCATGCCTGTAATCCCAGCACTTTGGGATGCCAAGGTGGGCAGATTGCTTGAGCCCAGGGGTTTGACACCAGCTTGGACAACATGGCAAAACCCTATCTCTACAAAAACAAAAATTAAAAAATTAGCCAGATGTGGTGGCACGTGCCAGTAGTCCCAGCCACTTGGGAAACTGAGGTGAGAGGATCACTTGAGCCTGGGAGGTCAAGGCTGCAGTGAGCCCTGATCACACCACTACACTCTAACCTGAGCAACAGAGTGAAGAGTGAGACCCTGTCTCAAAAAAAAAAAAAGAAAAAGAAAAGAAAAGAAATATAATGCGAACCACATACATAATTTTAAGTTTTCTAGTAGCTACATTTAAAAAAGTAAAAAGAGACAGGATGTGGTGGCTCACGCCTGTAATCCCAGCACTTTGGGAGGCCGAGGCGGGTGGATCACCTGAGGTCAGGAGTTCAAGACCAGCCTGGCCAACATGGCAAAACCCTGTCTCTACTAAAAATAAGAAAATTAGCTGGGCGTGGTGGCACACACCTGTAATCCCAGCTACTTGGGAGGCTGAGGCAGGAGAATCACTTGAACCCGGGAGGCGGAGGTTGCAGTGAGCCAAGATCACACCATTGTACTCCAGCCTGGGTGATGAGTGAAACTCTGTCTCAAAAAATAAAAAAGTAAAAAGAAAGTTAATTGTAATATTTTATTTAACCCAGTGTACCCAAGATGTTATTTCAGCATGTAACCAATGTTAAAACATGATTAAGGTATTTGTTTACAACCAGTTTTTTTCATACTCATTTGAAATGCAGTGTATTTTACACTTGCAATGTGGATTGGCACGTTTCAGGTGCTCAGTAGCCGTATGTGGCTAGTGGCTACTATAATGGATGACAAAACTATAGTTTCAATGCAAATAAAATTAAAATCTAACAATTTTTAATGTGGATCTTGATAAACTGATTCTAATCTGATCATACAAAAGACCAAGAATAGCTAAAATACTCTTGAAGACCAAGATAGGAAGACTTGCTTTACCAGGTATTAAGTCTTATTATAACAGTAATTAATATGGCATTGAAACAAGTGTGGAAAGTAGATCTATGCAATAGAATAAAGAGCCCAGAAACATATCTATATATGTGGACACTTAATTTGCAACCATTGGGAATTTCAGAGCAGTAGGGAAAGAATAGCCTTTTCTTAATAAATCATGCTGGAAAAGTTAAATATTCGTATAAAAAATAGGCAGGAAGTGGTGGCTCACACCTGTAATCCGAGCACTTTGGGAGGCTGAGGTGGATCACTTGAGGCCATGAGTTCAAGAATATAAAATTTATCCAGGTGTGGTAGTGCACACCTGTAGCCCTAGCTACTTGGGAGGCTGAGGTGGGAGACTCGCTTAAGCCAAGGAGGTCAAGAGTGCAGTGAGCCATGATCATGCCACTGCCCTCCAGCCTGGGTAATAGAGCAAGACCGTGTCTCAAAAAAAAATTTGCTTTAAAAAATTTTTTTAAATTCCTACCTTCCACCGTACATAAAAATCATTGCCATTCTATTTAGAACCCCAATCAATAAGAAAAAGCCAACCCAATAAAAACATGGGCAAGAGACTTAGGGATCTGACAGAAGATAATATTCAATGGCCAAAAAACTTATGAAAAGATACTCAACCTCGTTAATCAGAAAATGCAAATTAAAATCACAAGGAAATATCACTGCATACTCACCAGAATGGCTAAAATTAAAAAGATTGAAAGGAGCATTCTGAACCATTTGTGGCCCAGACTGCTGCCCTATTCAAAAATTTTGAAAATAAAAATAAAAAGACTGACAGTTCAAAATGGTGGGATGTGAAGCAGTGGCAACTTTTATACATAGCTGGAAGGAATATCAGTACTCATATAACCACTTTGGAAAGCAGTTTTTGTCCTTATCTTCTAAAGACAAATATATGTATATCCTTATCCAATTAGCCCCACTCCTAGACATGGACCCATGTTAAAAGAATCTAGTTACTCACACATCAAAAAACAAGTACAAAGTTGTTCATAGCAACATTATTTGTAATAGCCAAAAAGTGGAAACGTTATTAACAGAAGAGTGAATTAATAAATGATGGTATATTCATACAGTCGAATACAATAGGAGTTGTATTTACTATATGTATTTTAGGCTCTGTGGGCCACACACAGCGTCTGTCACATATTCTTTGTATTTTTTTTCCAACCCTGTAAAAATATAAAACAATTCCTGAGAGCCATTCAAAAACAGGCTGAAGCCTTGGCCCATGGGTGTAGTATGCCATACAACAAAGAAAATGAACAAACCACAGTTACATGCAACAGCTTAGATAAATCTCACAAGAATGTGGAGCTAAGGAAGTTCAGACACAAAAGAAAAAGTACTATATGATTATATTTGTAAAGTTTACAGAGCAGGCAAAACTAAAGCATAGTTTTTAGGGTTCATATTTAGATGGTTAAAAGCCTGAGGCAAAATAAGGAAAGTGGTTACATTGGATGAGAGGTTCTGGCAATGTTATGTGTCTTGGCCAGGTCAGTTTGTGGCAAATAATTGAGCTATGTACTTTGGGTGTTTTTGTTCGGGGTTTTTTGGGGTATTTTATATTATTCTACACAATAAAAAAGGTCTAAAAAGATGTGCTACATAAATGAATGTTCACTGAACTTTCATCACTGAACCTTTATCACTTCATCTACTTTGATCCCTCCCTTTCAGCGAACAAACACTCTCGTGTTGAAGAACTAAATCCTTCTTTGACTTGGCCTTCCTTTCAAGTTAGTGTACCATCTTCCTGCATCCTTTCAACACAAAGCCTTTTTAAGAAGTAGTCTGTGCTTTCTGTTTCTACTTTTTTGGCTGCTTTTATTTCACAGCCTATTTGTCATTCATCCCCACCACTCTGCTGAAACTGCTCTCCCTGTGGCTATCAGTGGTCTTCTAGTTGCTAAAACCAGGGTTAAGTTGTCAAAAGGATGACTGTACCATTCATTCACACAATTCATTTAACAGAGGTTTCAGTTCTTGCTACTCATACTTGAGACGTAGTATTAACAAGACTGAAAAGGTCTTTGGTGGACTTCAGAACTTATATTTTAGTGGGGGAGACAAGGAATTAATATCTAAACAATTTCAGGTAGTAATAGGAGATATAAGGATAATAAATCAGAAATCTGTACTTGTAATAGTGACCCCTTACTGTGTGAGGGAAGGAGCAGAAAGCAGGAGCCATATTAGATGGGACACTCAAGAAAGGCATCTCTGAGTATTTGACACTGTTGACCACTCCCTCCCTCCATAGTTTTTCATACTTTCATCTGCTTCTCCCACCTCTCTAACCATTCCCCTTTTGGTCACTTTTACATGACTTCTTCTCTTCCTGTTTTTCCTTTTTTAATTATAAAAATTTTCAAAAATGAATTCTCAAAAATAGAATAATTCAGTGAACACATATACCTCTCACCCAGATTCGACATTTATTAAGATTTGGCCGTTTCGCTTTATCTATTCTTTTTTTCTTTTCTTTACTGAAGTATTATAAGTATTCCAGACATATCTACTTAATTCAGTTTGCCTTGCTAAAAATATGGATGTTTTCTTACACATCCACATAAAACTAGCAATAATGCTTAGTTATCATCAGTCCTTAACCAATTTTTTCAGATTTTCTTCAAAACTGTGTCTTTACAGTTGGATCCAAATCAAGTGTGCACTTTCCATTTGGTTGTACTTCTTAAACTTCTGTTAGTCTAGAACAATCTATCCCTGCTTTTCCCCTGCTGTTTATTCGTAGAAACCAAGTCAGTTGTTTTATGGAACTCTGCTTTCTGGATTTATCTTGTCAAAGAATGAGACCCCCTCTCAACATTTGAAATAAAGCATAAAACTTATTTTATTCCTTGCTATGGTAAGGCTAAAGTCTCCCCAAACGCAGTAGACCACTAATCTTATATAGAGTTTTGAGGAAGGGTGGAGCTCAAGAACTGGCAGATTTTCAGGTCTATAAGTGGGTTGACATTATCTGTAAGAATGTGATTATTTGGGTGGGACTGTTGTTGATCAGTGGGCACTCAGGTGTGTTTATTGGAGTGAGTCCATTCCTGTTTCACTAATTTTCAGAGACAAAAAGCAGTTACTCATCCTTGCAGGTGTTCACTAGGCAAGTTGTCATTGATCAATTCAATGGATTTTAAACCAACTGAAAGAATTTAAAACTAGTTCTGGTGGTTCTCTTGTTACCATGGTTACATAACAATTAGTCTTTTCCTAAGAGTATGGAAACTTTTTTTATTCCCTTAGTGTTATTAACTTGATCCTCTGTCCTATTTTTGGTTAAATTGTTTTAGCAAGATTATTTCACAGCTAATACTGTGTGGTCCTTATTACATCAGGAGGCTTACAATACCTTGTTGCCCCCACTTTAAAAGTGATGGGCTCCAATGGTTGCAGCTGATTCCTCCATTGTAAAGTTCCCTGTCATGCTTTTAACTAATGGTTCTATCCATTAATAATCATTACTTGGAACAGTTATTTTATAAGGAATTCAAAAGTGATGAATTGCTTTTTTTTTTTTTTTTTTAAGGGCGGGGGTGGTTTAGAAACGAGATCTTGCTCTGTTGCCCAGACTTGAATGCAGTGGCATGATCACAGCTCACTGCAACATCAAACTCCTGGGCTAAAACGATCCTCCTGCCTCAGCCTCTCGAGTAGCTAGGACTACAGGTGTACCACCACGCCCAGCCAAGTTCTTTAATCTCTTGTACAGATGATATGTTGCTATGTTGCCAGGCTGGTCTCAAACTCCTGGGCTCAAGTGATCCTCCCACCTCCGCCTCCCAAAGTGTTGGGATTATAGGCATGAGCCACTATGTCCGGCCATGATTTTCTATTATTATTATTCCTTCCTCATTTATTAGCTGGTATTTTCTCAACAAACTTTCCCTCATCAACTATGATGATTTAATTACTTGAATTAAGGCTCATCCAAGAAAAAGAGAATAAATACGTAATTTATTCTTAATTGTTTCTAATGTCAGAGCCCTAGTTCCTTCCTAGTGGGGGTAATATCCAGTGAGTTGAGTTTTTGTGTTTTGACTTTGCTTTTTCTTATTTTACTATAATAAACTAATTGGATTTAATAGTCAGTGTGATTCAGCCAATTGCATTCATTATTTTTAATGCCCAAATTGTTCTTTTTCTGACTACCTTTTAAATGGTCTTGTCCCCCAGAATCCATCTATGATATGCTTTTCTTCCCCCTCTGCACTCTTTCCTGACTGACTTGTCTTTCCTATAACTACCGTCTACATTTTAATTACTCTCAAATCACTCTTTCTTACATGAATTTACCAAGCATTAGACCTGTGTTTCCATTTACTCACCTGCCTGGCGCTCCCAAAATATATTACATGCATGACTTCACATCTTTGAACTAAAGGTATCTTTATTTGCTGTTCTTTTCTTATACTCCCAGTTATCAGCATTTTCATGCACCCTCTTTCCCAAACCAGAAACCTGGAAATCATTTTTTGTTCCTTCTCTCTTTTGCATGATTAGGTATTCTCCACATTCGATCTCAGAATTATTTCACTGTTCCAGCCTTTCCTCTGAATTACGCTGCTGAAAGTATTCAGAAAACAGTGACCTGTTACCCACACTATCTGACCACATTCCTAAGTTGATTGCCTACCAGTTATGACCTCTTCCCACTGCAAATTATTCTCTACTACCCTTGGAGTTACCTTCTTGAAAATAAGTCTGGTCATGTTAGTTCACTGTTTCAGGACCTCTGCTGCATCCCTGTTACCTAATACAATAGTGTTTCCCCAGATTTGTCCAAGAGAGTATTAATTCTACAAGATGTTAATAAATATTCTTTGAAAAAGAGGTGCTGGAAATAAATACTTAGAAAATACTGATTTCGCCCATAATCCCAGCACTTTGAGAGGCTGAGGTGGGAGGATCACTTGAGGCTAGGAGTTCGAGACCATCCTAGCCAACATGGCAAAACTCCATCTCTACAACAACAACAACAAAAAAATCAGCCAGGTGTGGTAGCACACACCTGTAATCCCAACTACTTGGGAGGCTGAGACTCGAGAATCCCTTGATCCCAGAAGGCAGAGGTTGCAGCGAGCCGAGATTGTGCCACTACACTCCAGCCTGGATACTCTGTCTTTAAAAAAAAGCAAAAACAAAAACTGATTTGTTTGCTCTAGATTTCTCAGCCTTTTTATATGCAGTGTATTTTAATTTTGTGTCTCTAATGGGGGATATAATAGATAGCATTCTACAAGCTCATTGGGTCATGAATTTTTTTATTGTTGCTAACTATCTAGAGGGATTAATGTTATTCAGTAAAATTTGGGGAAACACTAGCCAAATGAATAAATTGTTAGCCTTTAGATTGCATTCAAGACCTTTCATAATCTCCCATGTTAAATTAAATATTCCCTACTGTTCCCTTGTCACTCTTTGCATATGTTCTTCTGCATTTGTCTCTTAATGTACTAGCATTGTCTGTATCCATCTTCACCATGGACCATGAGGTTCATGGGCTGTCTTTATCTCTGTATCCTCAGCACTAAACAGTGTCTGGCACGTAATAGCTCAGTAACAACTCACTGAATAATAAATGGATCTGTTTCTGAAATAGGAATTTTCTCCAGCTCTATTATTATTGTCATACTTACAGGATTATTGGTTTCTTTAATTTGTAGGTTTGGAAAAAGAATTAAAATTAGAGCTGAAACAGCCCTTCAGGTTCATCTAGGCCAGCAGTTTTTAGACTGTGTATCTTCAATATTTCATAATCCTCTTTCCCACAGTTCCCCTTCCCTTCAGGGTCTGTTAAAGGGAATAGAAAGGAAAAAGTGGCATATGAAACACATGTTCTCTTAGCAGCTTTAAATGTTAGGTTTCTTAAATTCCCTTTGAGGAGGAGTTCCGAGGCTATATGTTGGGAGCTATTGGTCTAGAGTCAAATCCCTTTGCTTATAAAGAAATGATAACAGGCCCAGAATAATTGACTTTCCCAGTGTCACAAAGTTCTTGGTAACAGCCAGAACTAGGATTCAAATGATCTTACTTTCACAGTGCTCTTTGCAAAATTTTGAAAAGTGAAAAAGCTCATTAGCTTATACGCTAAAATTCAGTTATGTGTTCACATGAAAACCTGTACATAAATGTTCACTGTAGCTTTATTCATATTAGCCCAAAACTGGGCACAACCCAAATGTCCTTCAACAGATAATGGATAAACAAACTGTGACATACTCATACAGAAGTCATACATGTAATAAAATGGCATAGAACTAAACACACACACAAATAAGTGCAAATAAAACCAGTGCCATGTGAATGCGATCATTGGATTGTCTCCATGTCAATATCCTGGATGTGATATTGTACTGTAGTTTTGTAAGATGTTACTATTGGGGGAAACTGGGTAAAGGGCACAGGGCATCTCTCTGTATTATTTCTTACAACTGAGTGTGAATCTACAAGTATCTCAAAAAGTTTAAGAATTTTTAAAAATAAAAATACAGATGCCTCCAAAAAGTAAAATATTATGTGGATTTATTATTTAGAGCCAAACTTGGAATGCCACAGTTTTTGAGTCCTGAAGCCCAGAGTCTTTTGCGAATGCTTTTCAAGCGAAATCCTGCAAACAGATTAGGTAAAAATTTTAACTAATTTGTTTATGTTGTGTGTTCGTTGGTGTTTGTTTTTCGGGGGGAGTAGATATTTGTTTTGTGGTGGAATTATTGACTATTTAGACAAGGTTGGGCATGGGGGCTCATGCCTGTAATCCCAGCGCTTTAGGAGACCAAGGCAGGAGAATTACTTGAGTCCAGGAGTTCAAGACCAGCCTAGGCAAAATGGCAAAACCTCATCTTTACAAAAAATTCAAAAATTAGCCAGGCATGGTAGTATGCGCCTGTAGTCTGAACTACTCAGGAAGTTGAGGTAGGAGGATCACTTGAGCCTGAGAGGTTGAGGCTGCAGTGAGCTGAGATCACACCACTGCACTCCAGCCTGGGTGACAGAGCAAGCCCTTGTCTCAAAATTAATTAATTAATTAATTAGACAAGTATTGAAAACAAAGGCTGAGCAATATGTATATTTCTCCTTGAAATAAAATTACCAATGAATCCATTTTTGATAGGTGCAGGACCAGATGGAGTTGAAGAAATTAAAAGACATTCATTTTTCTCAACAATAGACTGGAATGTAAGTATAGAATGAAAACTTGCTTGAAATATTTCTTTATAATTAAAATATGTCTAAGTCTCTTTTTTTCCCTCTAGAAACTGTATAGAAGAGAAATTCATCCACCATTTAAACCTGCAACGGGCAGGCCTGAAGATACATTCTATTTTGATCCTGAGTTTACTGCAAAAACTCCCAAAGGTAAGGAGAAAATGTGAAAACCCAAATATAAGACAACAAATATATTTTTTTCTTGTTCAGTCAGAAAATCTTTTCCAGACTCTGGGCGTAGTTGCTCACACCTGTAATCCCAGCACTTTGGGAGGCTGAGGTGAGCAGATCGCTTGAAGCCAGGAGTTCGAGACCAGTCTGGCCAACATAGTGAAACCCCGTCTCTACTAAAAATACCAAAATTAACTGGGTTTGGTGGCATGTGCCTGTAATCCCGGCTACTTGGGTGGCTAAGGCACGAGAATCGCTTGAACCTGGGAGGTGGAGGTTGCAGTGCATCAAAATTGTGCCACTGCACTCCAGCCTGGGTGACAGAGCAAGACTGTCTCAAAAAGAAAAAAAGAAAATCTTTTCCTGGATAACTCTCTATGCTATCTTCAAATCTCCCAAATTTGCTGTAGATCAACCTTGTATCTCCCCCATTGTCCCCCAAATAGGTTATTATTGAGGGCTGCAGTTTCTAATATGGTAGCTAGTAGCCACATGTGGCTAATTAAATTTAAATTAATTAAAATTTAAAATGTAGTTTCTCAGTCACACTAGGCACATTTCAAATGTTGAGAAGCTGCATGTAGCTAGTGGCTATCATATTAGACTGTAAAGATAAAGAAAATTTCTATCATTTCAGGAAATTCAATGGGACAGCATTAATTTTGAATACCATTAACCCTATAATTCATTGATTTATTATATTCTTCAAATGAACTAGCTATTTTCTAGGCTCCGAGGGACTAGGATGTTGGTGTTGTAATGGCAATACACAATCAGAACAGATCGGATACAGTGCCTCACAGGTATCCCGGAAAGCAAGAGGTATATACCGTGTACCTGAGAAGTAGAATTCCAGAATAAGTGAAAAAGGTCGTAGTGTCAACAGTTTTTCACTTAATTTCCTTTCAAATGAATCTTCTTTGTCACTTCTTACTCTTTTCAGATTCACCTGGCATTCCACCTAGTGCTAATGCACATCAGCTTTTTCGGGGGTTTAGTTTTGTTGCTATTACCTCAGATGATGAAAGCCAGGCTATGCAGACAGTTGGTGTACATTCAATTGTTCAGGTGAGTGGATGTCTAAATAATTTTAGATTTGGAATGTTGTAAGATATAGTTCATTCTGTGAATAGATTTTTTTCTACTGACTTCAAGTGAGCAATTTAAAATACATTTTAGACTGGGCACTGTGGCTCACACCCGTAATCCGAGCACTTTGGGAAGCCGAGACAGGTGGATCACTTGAGGTCAGAAGTTCAAGACCAGCCTGGCCAACATGGTGAAACCCCTATCTCTACTAAAAATACAAAAATGAGTTGGGCATGGTGGCGCGTGCCTGTAATTCCAGGTACTCAGGAGGCTGAGGCACAAGAATCACTTGATTTGGAGGCAGAGGTTGCAGTAAGCGGAGATCGCACCACTGCACTCCAGCCTGGGTGACAGAGTTGAAACTCTGTCTCAAAAAATAAAGTAAAATACATTTTATATCATTAACTTTACTCTTAGAAATTTTTTTCACATGTCATTGAAAAGGTTGCAAGAACCCAAATCCTAGATACTTATGTGACTTGAAAGTAGAGTTTTAGGCCAGGCACGGTAGCTCAAGCTTGTAATCCCAGCACTTTGGGAGGCCGAGGCAGGCAGATCATGAGGTTAGGAGTTCGAGACCAGCCTGTCCAACACAGTGAAACCCTGTCCCTACTAAAAATACAAAAATTAGCTGGACGTGGTGGTGCATGCCTGTAATCCCAGCTACTCTGGAGGCCGAGGCAGGAGAATCGCTTGAATCCAAGAGGCAGAGGTTGCAGTGAGCCAAGATCCACCACTGTACTCCAGCCTGGGCAACAGAGCTAGACTCTGTCTCAGAAAAAAAAAAAAAGAAAGTAGAATTTTAAAAGAGTTGAGATAAACATGACGATGTTGTCTATGTCCTCTCCTGTGCCTCAAAATGTTTATCATGCCGAGTTTGTTTCACCCTTTGCCTCCTTCAGGTCAGCTATGATGAATTAAGGTCTTCTGGTTCTTCAATGTCTTAGAACAGGAGTCGGCAGACTTTCTCTGTGAAGTGTTAGATAATACTTGAGGCTTTGTGGGCTATATGGGCTCTGTCACAACTACTCAACTCTGCTATGTATCTCAAAACAGCCACAGACAATACATAAACAAGTGGGCATGGCTGTGTGCTAATAAAACTTTATTTACACACATGGGCAATGAATCAGATTTGGCTCACTGGCCATAGTTTGGCAACCTTTGCCTTAGAAAGATACAAGAAATAAAAATGAACTCAAATCTTAAGTCATCTTTCTAATCAAAGGGAGCTAGATATATCTTTTGAAGCACTGGATTGTTTTTAGGATATCATTTGTACTTGGATTTGCTTGATGTTTAAGTTGCTTTTGCTCTAAAGTTTTTTCATGAGTTATCCTGTTTTCCATTTTGTAGAAAAACAATTAAAACACTGGTTTTTAAGCAGAGCTCATGTTGAAATAGTCTGTGCCATTTACTATGCAAGCATGTGAATGTATGGCAAGTTTTTAAATTATAAATTCTGTACCTAACATAGAAGCCACAAACATACATATTCTACAGAATTCAAATTTTAACATATACAAAGCTCATAGGCATGGATGTCTCATATCAGTATAGCCAAGGGCAACACAACTTTCCTCAGCCTGTTTATGGAATCAATAAGTTGCTGTTCATCATCTACTGTATGTTATTAGTCGCTAACCCATGACCAGCTTCTTTAACAGAAGTTGTGTAAGGCTATGACTTCAGGATGAAGAAAGGAGGGTGTGGCTACTGAAAGTCCAAAATGTCGGTAACAGGTATTGCTTGCCAATACATTATTTTTATGTAATCTTCACCATTACCCTCTGATAAAATACAGGCTCAAAGTTACATAGCCTGTAAGTGGTGCATCTGAGACAAGAATTCAGATATTCTAATTCTGAATCCTCCTAAATCCTTTCCTTCTATACCATAGGTTTCAAATTTCACATTTGCAAAGGTGCCTGAAAACCTATAGCCAATTGGGGAGTGGAATAAGGCTGAATCACAGGCAAAGATATAGGCCCCATTTCAAGTAGCTTTGCTTTTAAAGTCATATTTCTTGCTGTACATTTCATTGTAAACACTTCCAAAATCACTTGTTTGTAGAAGAATAAGTACTATAAAGATGTATTTTTATTCTTATTCATTTATATGTAGAGCATCAACAATGCATGCTGAGGAACATACTTCCCTATTATAAAATGCACTAAAGGCATTATGGGACTCTTCACCAATTTATAATTTTTTGTAGCAGTTACACAGGAACAGTATTCAGTTTACTGATGGATATGAAGTAAAAGAAGATATTGGAGTTGGCTCCTACTCTGTTTGCAAGAGATGTATACATAAAGCCACAAACATGGAGTTTGCAGTAAAGGTAAATATTTTTTTAGTTAAAATGCAATTTGTACAGTTCTTGTTCGTGCATGTCAGTACCAGTTAAAAATTACACTCCTCTTGTTGTTAAAAGTGCCTTTTGTTATGAAAAAGTTAAATATCTGGCTAGTGATCTTCAGAGATCTTAATCTAGAACCCTGTGAGCTAAAGGTAAGGTGGTTATACATCTGGTTTGCCCAGAGCAGTACCAGTTTACACATCAAGTGATTTTTTTTTTTTTTTTTTTTTTTTTACCTCAAGTGATTTTTAAAGTATATTTTTACTCTCAGAAGTCCCCATTTGATGCTCAGGTTGTCAACAAATTCCTCAAAATTGTGTGCAAAATTTTGTATGTTTACATCTTCTCTGGCAAAATGTTCATGCCTTTCTTTACATCTAAAAGGATCTGGGAACTAATAAATGAATTAAAACCACTATCATAAAATTCATTATCATTGGCTGTTTTAATTTCATCAAGTATCCTAAGACAGAATTTTCTACGCCAAAAACCAAGGAACCTAGCTCTGTGATGAAGTTTGAATTTCAAACCTTTAGTCATAAGTGAACAAACACTATGTTCAAGTCTCTTTTCACTTCTTGGAATAGTAACCTTTGCTCTCCAATCTCAAGCAATTCAAACAATGTCTAAAGCTTTCAACTTATTTGAACCTTAGGACTGGTTTATAAATATGCATAGCTCATGTTTAGAGAGAGAGTGACATTAGTTGTTATCACTTTTCTAAACTTAGATGTAACTGCCTTAAAGTTGTCAGTGTCTATAGGACTTTCTGTCAGATAGAAGGATGAACCATAGAAATACATTTAATTTGCTTCATTGGAAGGACAGTAAAGCTAATTTTAAAGAAGGAAATGTTTAAAAGAAATACATTTAATTTTCTATTTTCCTATTCATTGCTCTTATTGAAATCTAAGATACATAGAAATTTTCAAATTGCTTACATGAAAAGAGAAAAGACTAATAACATATTTGGTAGGCAGTTTAAGGATGTGTCTTGCCTCCATAAATACATCATAAAAAGCAGAAATGTCCTGAGACCCCTTTGAATTACAGAAACTTTGAGGACTATGCCTAAAACCTTGAAAACATCTCCAAGCTATTTGTGGATTTTTGTGACTTAAATCACTCGTAAAACCAATCCCAATACAACTGGATTCTACTGAAATTACCATGTGTTTGAGGTCCACAAGCACAAGCATAGATCTAATGCAAACTGGGCTCAGATTAGCAGATCTATGCCAAAAACAACCCCTCCCAGTGTGTTCTGGTTTTCAAAAGACTAGTCCCAGATCATCTCTTAAATTAGCATGTCTATTCCATATATCTCTCCTCTTAATCACCCATTTGCCTAATTCCACACTGTCATTTGCGGTTGATTACAGTGGGCACCTGTATGTTTATCTTCCCTGTTCTCCGAATACAGAACTGTTTTACAAGTACAGTCCACCCTTGAATAACACAGGACTTAGGAGTGCTGACCCCCAAGCAGTTGAAAATCTGTATAACTTGACTCCCCAAAACCTAACTACTCAAAGCCTACTGTTGACCAGAAACCTTACTGATAGCATATACAGTCGATTAACACGTATTTTGTGTATATATTATATACTGTATTCTTACAATAAAGCAAGCTAGAGAAAAGAAGGTGTTATTAAGAAAATCATGCCAGGCATAGTGTCTCACATTTGTAATCCTAGCACTTTGGGAGGCCGAGGTAGGTGGATTGCTTGAGGCCAGGAGTTTGAGACAAGCCTGGGCAACACAGCAAGACCCTATCTCTACAGAAAAATTGTTTAAAAATTAGCCAGACGTGGCTACATGTGCCTTTAGTCCTAGCTACTCAGGAGGCTGAGACAGAAAGATTGCTTGAGCTCAGGAGATTCAGGCTACAGTGAGCTATGTGCCACTGTATTCTAGCCTTGGCAACATAGCCAGACCTCATCTCTACAAATAATTTTTAAAATTAGCTGAGTGTAGTGGCATGTGCCAGTGGTCCCACCTACTCAGGAGGTAGAGGTGGGAGGATCACTTGGGCCCAGGAGTTCAAGGTTGCAGTGAGCCATGATTGCGCCACTACACTTCAGCCTGGGCAACAGAGCAAGACCCTGTCTCAAAAAAAGAAAAAAATATATAAGGAAGAGAAAATATATTTACTGTTCATTAAATGGAAGTGGATCATAATAAAGGTCTTTTTCCTCATCATTTTCACCTTAAGTAGGCTGAGGAGGAAGGAAGAAGAGAAGGAGTTAGTCTTGGTGTCTCAGGGGTGGCAAAAGCAGAAGAAAATCCACGTGTAATTGGTCCCTCATAGTTCAAACCTGTGTTGTTCAAGGGTCAACTCTAAATCCATTTCAGATAGAAGACGGGACTCATGCTGAGAGTTATAACCTCTTTCCTAGGTTGCTGGTGTGTCTGGGTATTTAGTGTGTACTTAATTACTAAGCTGTTTAAAATCGAACATACAAAGGCCACCTAATTTGTTTCAGACTACCCTTTGAATGAATTGAAAGCAAAATTTGTCTTTTTTATATATTAGTTTAGCAGATTAAAACATTAAGAGAAATATTTTTAAGGAGCAGCCAAAATAAAAGGGTTAGAAAGCTACATTACTATTTTAAAGGGCTTTATTATAATAATTAAACCAAATTCTAACCAAATAAAATTCTAGGTGTAATTTTCTATGTAGCTTTCTGCCTAACTTCAAAAACAAGATTGTTCTACTTAACAGGTAATTAGCTTTTATAAGTAGCTTACAACTAACAGGATATTCAATTGAAGCACTTTAATAAAGGAAGTAAACTTAATTCAATAAGCAGATGCTAGTGGTGGTGTTGTAGATATATCTACCTCTTAATTATCTGTATTGATGGGGGGTTAGAAGTTGACTGAGTTCCCAAATGTTTAAGGCCTCAAGGATAGAAGAAAAGATATGTTAACTGTGTTCTTGGTACCTTTTCTCGAGGCTTTTTGAGTTTTTGGTAAGTCCTAAACTTACTACAAACTTACATTGGAGAGGAATGGTGGGAATGTGACTCATGAATTGGAATTTACAGCCTTGCCATCTATATCAAGACTGGCTTTCTGATTAAACAGTCTGGCCAGGTAGTTGAATAAAACTGATTGATAAATGGCTTATTTATATACTATTTACATGAGGTAATACCCAAGGTCTGTAGCTGTAAACAATTAGTGTTTATAACTGTATAGTTCATGAGGTTTTGTGATAAATATTTGCCTTTTAGATTATTGATAAAAGCAAGAGAGACCCTACAGAAGAAATTGAAATTCTTCTTCGTTATGGACAGCATCCAAACATTATTACTCTAAAGGATGTAAGTAGATTCTTTAACATGGATCATTTGAATGAGTTGTCTAACTCACATTGAAAGTAGTGTATTTTCAAAAATCATGTGGTAGACAGAGAACTCATCATAGGCTGGGCATAGTGGCCCACGCCTATAATCCCAGCAGTTTGGGAGGCCAAGGCAGGAGGATCACTTGAGGCCAGGAGTTCAAGACCAGCCAGGTCAACATAGTGAGACCTCCATCTCTACAAAAAAATGTTTTTTAATTAACCAGGCTGGGCACAGTGGCTCACACCTGGAATCCCAGCACTTTGGGAGGCTGAGGCAGGAGGATTGCTTGAGCCCAGGAGTTCAAGACCAGCCTGGGCAACGTAGGGAGACCCTGTCTCTAAAGAATATTTAAAAATTAGCCTGACATGGTAGCTCATGCCTATAGTCGCAGCTACTCTGGAGGCTGAGGTGGGAGGATTGCTTCAGCCTGGCAGGTCAAGACCGCAGTGAGCAGTTATCACACCACTGCACTCCAGCCTGCGCAGCAGAGCAAGACCCTGTCTCAAAAACAAAAACAAACAAAAAATTCAGCATGGTAAGTTTAAAAAGTAGATTTGAAAACAATGTATATGTGTATATGACATAATTTCATTTATCAATAAAGATATGTTTGTACAGTTATTTTTTTCTACTTTTGCTTTAAGAAGAAAAACACGATATTATTGCTTTTAATATCTGCACTTGAACACTTACCTAAATGTTCAGTGTTAATATTACTATTAGTTCATATTCAATATTGACTAGTCTCACTCTCCAAAGTATCTTCCACATTACTAGAAGAGAGATCTAACACTCATAACTACCCATTTAACTTCCCTGCCTACAGTCTAAAGTCCCTAGCCCCTTAAGACCCTGCATTCCTCTGTAGTTTTCAGACTTCCCACACACACTTTCTCATACACCTTATGCTCTGTTCTAGTATGTAAATTTCTTGCACATGCCTCAATTTCCCATGTTGCTCTGCCTGAATTTATAGTTCCCTCAGTTGCTAACACCATCTATTTTTCTTTACCTGGCTAACTACCACACATAAAAGATTTTGCTAAGGCACTGCTTCTTCCAGGAAGCCGGCCCTGCCCATTGCCACCCCCAGGACAAGTAAAGTATCTTTCCTTGGACTGTCATGATACACTGTTGCCTATGTCTCTCTTGACTTTTATTATAACAAAGTGTTGGCAAAGAGTGTGAACTCCCCAGGTAGTGTTAAGTCTTCTCTTGCTAATGATGCTCACATAGGCCTGAAGGCCTTCTCTGGGGGTTGTAAAAACTCAAATTTCCTCAGATTATCACTGCTCATGGAGACACAGCAAAACCTCGTCTCTACAAAAAAATGCAAAAATTAGCCAGGTGTGGTGGCATGTGCCTGTAGTCTCAGCTGCTTGGGAGGCTGAAGTGGGAGGATCGCTGGAGCCCAGGAAGTGGATATTACAGTGAGCCAAGATTGTGCCAGTGCACTCCTGGGCGACAGAGCGCATGTCTGTCTCAAAATAATAAATAAAATTTTTCTTGAATATGAAGTGAGTTTAATTTTTCTTTTATATTTTAAACTTTGTTTTGAGCACATATAAAGTTTCAAATAATATTTACATTTTGATGTTGAAATTTATAGGTATATGATGATGGAAAATATGTGTATGTAGTAACAGAACTTATGAAAGGAGGTGAATTGCTGGATAAAATTCTTAGACAAAAATTTTTCTCTGAACGAGAGGCCAGTGCTGTCCTGTTCACTATAACCAAAACCGTTGAATATCTTCACGCACAAGGGGTAAGTCTTTTTAACACTCTATATATACATGCACACACTTTTTTTCTTTATGTTTGAGCTAAAATTAGATAGAAGTTACTTTATGCATGAAATGGAAAATAGCTGCTATTAGCTGAATTATCCTACTGATCTTCCTCTATATAAACTTTTATTATTGAGATTGAAGTGTGCCTTTGATATCCTAGCTTGTTTATGTTAAACTCTTGTGCTTCCAAGGAAAAGTAAGTGATCTATTCCGACCTGGAAAACATAGCATTGTTTCTGCTAGGTCACTCTGTACTCATGAATACCAGGCCCACTTCAGGTTAGAAGCAGAACCAAGGAATCCTGGTTTGTATTCATGTATAAAAGGAAATCCTTAAAACAATGAGACAAAAGAGTCACATGCTTCTGGCTGGTGGATATGCTCTTCATTCTTCTTGTATGCAGATTTTTAGTAAATAGCAAAAGAAAATTGTACTTCTAGGCTGGGCACAGTGGCTCATGCCTCTAATCCCAGCACTTTGGGAGGCTGAGGCGGGCAGATCACTTGAGGTCAGGAGTTCGAGAAAATCGTATTTTTTTAAAAAGACAGCTGGATGCAGTGGCTCACACCTGTAATCCCAGTGCTTTGGAAGGCCAAGGTGGGTGGATTACCTGAAGTCAGGAGTTTGAGACCAGCCTGGCCAACATGGCAAAACCCCGTCTCTACTAAAATTACAAAAATTAGCCGGGTGTCATGGTACATGCCTGTAATCCCAGCTACTCGGGAGGCTGAAGCAGGAGAATTGCTTGAACCCGGGAGGCGGAGGTTGCAGTGAGCTGAAATTGCGCCACTGCACTCCAGCCTGGGCAACAGAGTAAGACTCCATCTCAAAAAAAAAAAAAAGAAGGGAAGTCTGGGAGGAAAGGAGAAAATGAGGGGAGGGAGGGAAGAAAGGAGAACAGCAGAGGAGTGAAGAGGAATGGAAAGCAAGGGGAAAATAATTTTTTAAAAATTTTTTAGTTGACAAATTATATATATTCATGGTATACAATGTGATGTTTTGATATATGCATATATAAAAGATTACCTCTTAAGGAGTTCAGTTTCAATACCTTCTTCTTGTTTTGTCTTTGCCCCTGAAAGCCAAGTAGAATGTGTTAATTCTAGAGCTTCCTGACTTCTAACTTATCAAGATTTGCTTAGTATTGTAACTTGAAATTGGTAGAACTCAGTAGTCACTGAGGAACTTATGACCTTGCAGTCATGAAAGTCTTCTGTGTTCTTTTCCCAATGCCTGATCAGTAATTTGTTATTAAAATAGTCTGGAGAAGTGATGTCCTGGATGTGAGGAACTAAATCTAATTTGATTGATTGGAACATAGACTCAGAATTTGGTGACAGAAGGCACACTTAAGTCTAAAAAGGAATGTAAGAGAAGCTTATGATAAAAAAAAAAAAAAGTACAGTAGTCCCCCACTAATCTGCAAGTTTGCTTTCTGTGGTTTCAGTTATCCACAGTCAACCATTGTCAAAAATATTACAATATTTTAAGAGACCACATTCACATAACTTTTATTACAGTATATTGTTACAAGTGTTCTAATTTATTATTAGTCATTGTTAATCTCTTACTATGCCTGATTTATCAATTAAACTATATCGTAGGTATATATATCTAGGAAAAAATACAGAGATTTTGGTATTGTCCTCAGTTTCAGGAATCCACTGGGGGTCTTGAAACATATACCCCATGGATAAGGGGGGACTACTGTACTCAGGTAGATCATTAAAAGAGGAAAATAATACAAAACTCTAAAGAAGAGATTTCTTCTTGCATGTGTAACACCTTGTATATCAAATAGGCAATACCAAAAATAAAGTCCAGATTTGTTTTGGTTTTTTCCTTTTTACTCCTGAATGCCCTGTCTATTCCATTTAGTCTATCAGAATATATTTGTTGTGTATGTACCTTGTACATGCTGTTCCTTCTAGTTAGAATGACTCTACCTTACTGTTCTTATGGCCCATTCATTCTGTTCTTCAGATACTGGATCAGATGTTACCTCATCTAGAGACCCTTCCTGACTGCCCTATTTAAAGTTATGCCCCATGTCTCAACCTATTCTTTGCTTCCCCCAGAACTGTGTAAGCTCCTAGCATGGAAAGGCCAGGATCTTATGGGTCTTGTTCACCACAGTATCTACAGAAGCTTATATAATACCCTGGTACATGATAGACACTCAATATTAAATGAGTGATCAACCTGGAGGTAGATATATTATTGCTGTTTGCATTTCTCCTTAACCCAATTACTCAATTGGACAAAGAGGAGGGAGGTAAGTACTATTCTTTCTTCCTCCTCCTCCTCGCCCCAGGTCTATGTTAGAGAGTTATGCTTTACATTATCAGTATTTTATAATGTTGGGCTAATTTAAAGGTCAGCACTCATCATCTTGTTAAGTGTATTGCTTGACAGTTTGTGAATAAAGAACTTTCAGTAATGGAAATATATTGTTAACATAACTCTTTAATTTGTATTTCAATTAGGTGGTTCATAGAGACTTGAAACCTAGCAACATTCTTTATGTGGATGAATCTGGTAATCCAGAATCTATTCGAATTTGTGATTTTGGCTTTGCAAAACAGCTGAGAGCGGAAAATGGTCTTCTCATGACTCCTTGTTATACTGCAAATTTTGTTGCACCAGAGGTAATTGTGAGAGAGTTTGCTTGCAGTATTAGTGTGTTTTAAAACTCATTCACTATGTTTAGTACAGAATTATTAATGATAATTCAATCGAAGACTTACTGAAGAAATAATTAGGATAAAATGCCAGCCTTTCATTTCCCTGTTTAATGTTTCAATGACATCTGATTGCCTACAGAAGAATCTAAATTTCTTAACAAGGTATTATAAAAGCCCTTGAGGCAGGGCATGGTGGCTCATGCCTGTAATCCCAGCACTTTGGGAGGCCAAGGCAGGAGGACTGTTTGAGGCAGGAGTTTGAGACCAGCCTGGACAACAGAGTGAGACCCCATCTCTACAAAAAAATTTAAAATTAGCTGGGCATGGTGGCGTGCCTGTAGTCTCAGCTACTCAGGAGGCTGAGGTAGGAGGATCACTTGACTCCAAGAGTTTGAGGTTGCAGTGACCCAAGATCACACCACTGCACTCCAGCCTGGGTCACAAAGCAAGAACCCCTCTATTAAAAAGAAAAAAAAAAAGCCCTTCAGTCTCTCTGGTATTCCCTACCTGAAGTTCTAGACACACTGAACTTCTGGCCTATCACTAAACCCACTCTGCTCTCTTACTTATAGGTCCAATATAAGCAGGCCACCCTCTAGCCTTCCTTCTCTCCCCATGTCAAGAATAAATTGCTTCCTCATCTTCATACCTATAACATTTAAGACATAATTTGGGGTTTTTATTTGTTTAGGGACAAGGTCTCCCTCTGTTGCCTAGGCCAGAATACAGTGGTGCAGTCATAGCTCACTGCAGCCTTGAACTCCTCAGCTCAAGCAATCCTCCTGCCTCAGCCTCCCAGGTAGCTGGAACTACAGGAGAACACCACCGTACCTGGCTTATTTTTTATTTTTATTTTTTAAACATGAGATCTTGGCCAGATGCCGTGGTTCATGCCTGTAATCCCAGCACTTTGGGAGGCCAAGGCGGGTGGATTGCTTGAACTCAGGGGTTTGCGATCAGCCAGGGCAACATGGTGAAACCCCATCTCTACTAAAAATACAAAAGTAAGCTAAGCTTGGTGGCACACGCCTGTAATCCCAGCTGCTCGGGAGGCTGAGGCAGGAGAATTGTTTGAACCCGTGAGGCGGATGCTGCAGTGAGCCAAGATCGTGCCGCTGCATTACAGCCTGGGCGACAGAGTGAAACCCTGTCTCAATAATAATAATAATAAGGTCTTGCTGTGTTGCCCGGGTTCTCAAAACTCCTGGCTTCAAGTGATCCTCCCACCTTGGCCTCCCAAAGTGCTGGACTGCAGGCATGAGCCACCATACCCTACCCAGACTTGATTTTTTTATAATATTTATCAGGTTGAGTTGTTAACTATTTGTATATTTATTTCCCATCAGATTTTTTTTTTTTAGGAAATCAGGGGTTTTTTGTATTTGTCATAGTTCATGCCTGATAAAAGTTGGTGATTTTTGTGCTAGGTTATGTGTGTTCTTTATGTGCTTGTGTGTGTATGTGTTCTTAAAAGCATTGTTTTTTGTAAATATTTCTGTAGCCCCAAACAAAATATAAATTCATTAAAATAAGAAAGTTATCTTCAGTTTGTTTTATATTCCTGTGTACCTACAATACTCAATATTAATTTGAATACCAAAATTAAATTTATATATGAATTATTAGTAGTAGAATGTTCTAGAATAGGACTAATGTATTGCCTTATTTGGTAACCATGTTCTGTTGAAATTTTCCTTATAGTTGTTGATTTGGGATATATAATTCAGTTCCTAGCCTATACAAATATATATACAAAATGGTGGTATAGTAATACTAATTTTGCACTTTTTCTAGGTTTTAAAACGACAAGGCTATGATGCTGCTTGTGATATATGGAGTCTTGGTGTCCTACTCTATACAATGCTTACCGGGTGAGTGTATACCATACGTTCTAAGCACCATTTTGCTTAAGTTATCTAGGTTTTTGTTTTGTTTAAGGTTTTTTTTGTTTGTTTGTTTGCTTTTTCTTTAGAGACAGGGTGTCACTCTGTGGCCCAGGCTGGAGTACAGTGACACAGTCATAGTTCACTGTAGCCCCAAACTCCTGGGCTCAAGCAATCCTCTCACCTCAGCCTCCCGAATAGGAGTAGCTAGGACTACAGGGGTACACCACCACACCTGCCTAATTTCTTTATTTTTTTGTAGAAACAGGGTCTTGCCGTGCTGCCCAGGCTGGTTTCAAACTCCTGGGCTCAAGTGATCCTCCTGCTCTGGCCTCCCAAAGTGCTGGGATTACAGGCATGAGCCACTGTACCTGTCCTATGTAGGTTTTTTTTTTTTTTAATTCAGATGTTGTTGTATCTTTCCATGTTTTCTCATGTTATCTAATATATACAATTCTGTAACAATTCCACATTTATGGCTATATCATTACTGATTTTTTGTAATGTACTATTTATTAATGTCTCAAGGTCCTAAATTGATTTTTTCCATACTTTTTTGTACTCTTGTCATGTCAGAAACATAGAGGTTTTTTGTTTTGTTTTGTTTTGTTTTGAGATGGAGTCTTGCTCCCAGGTTCAAGCAATTCTCCTGCCTCAGCCTCCCAAGTAGCTGGGATTACAGGCAGGCACTACCACACCCAGCTAATTTTTGTATTTTTAGTAGAGACAATGTTTCACCATATTGGCCAGGCTGGTCTCGAACTCCTGACCTCGTGATCCACCCACCTTGGCCTCCCAAAGTGCTGAGATTACAGGCATGAGCCACCTTGCCTGGCCTACACTATTTCTTAATATTTTATTCTATAATGTGTCATGTCTTAAAATATTTATATTATTTTATATTAAATATGATTAATATTTTATAACCCATGCTTTACCTGGTGCCTTATGGAGCTTCATTTTGTTGATTTTTTTCACTTTGGTAGATTTTAATAAAATATTACGTTAACTGAATTAGAATACTTTTGAGATTACCAACCAAATAAGAAATTTTATTCATTAATATTTTAATTTTATTATAAATTAGTTACACTCCATTTGCAAATGGTCCTGATGATACACCAGAGGAAATATTGGCACGAATAGGTAGCGGAAAATTCTCACTCAGTGGTGGTTACTGGAATTCTGTTTCAGACACAGCAAAGGTGAGTATGGCTTCCTATTATAAGCTTTTGAGAAAATAATTTTTTATGATCCATTGTGAGAAGAAATACTACCAGTTAGAACTCTTTGTTTATAAATTAGTATGTTAAAGTGATGTTATCAAATAATTTGAACTCAAAAATGGACCCATTATTTTGTTTCTTTCCCAGCTGACATTGGTTTGGCCTTGTTATTTATACTTTTAAAACTGTTTCTCACTGAAGAACATGATAAATAATAACTAATTCAGATTATGAAGAAAGAGGTTTCAGTTTTTTCACAATAAACAGAGGTATGGTTTTATAGCATCTGCATGAAATAATTTGAAGAGCCCTTCTCACTGGAAGATCTGCCATCCCCTGAATAGCACTGACTTGCTTTCCAACTCTGCTCTGTTTTCACTTTTTTCATAGAGAATTCTTTAAAAGGAAGTTTTTTACTTCAAAATAAGAAAAACAGAGTAGATAAAGAGGATACATATTGGTAAAAGTGCATATTCTTTTTTCTTAGGGGTGAAAGCTTGAGTTGAGGTGATCGTATAAGTAAATAGAACACATCAAAAGTGTATGTAGATTCTGTTGGCATAGGGCCTGAAGACTCAGTTGACCAATTTAATGTCTGTATAGATACTATTTGGTTTTATATCTGCATTTAAAATGAAATGTTGGCCAGGCGCGGTGGCTCACGCCTGTAATCCTAATGCTTTGGGAGGCCAAGATGGGCAGATCACTTGAGGTCAGGAGTTCAAAACCAGCCTGGCCAACATGGTGAAAGCCCATCTCTACTGAAAATACAAAAAAATTAGCCAGGTGTGGTAGCAGATGCCTGTAATCCCAGCTACTCGGGAGGCTGAGGCAGGAAAATCGCTTGAACTGGGGAGGCAGAAGTTGCAGTGACCCAAGAGTGCACCACTGCACTCCAGCCTGGGCAACAGAGCAAGACTCTGTCTCAAAAAAATAAATAAAAAATAAATAAATAAAATGAAATGTCAGCCTTTATCTTTTTCTAACAATAAAATGTCTTAAACCAGATAATTCATTTCTCTGGGTACCTGTTTCCTTTGTAGTTCCCTTATTGAGTGCCTACAATGTGCTTAATAAATGAAGGCCTTAGAGATAAAAGATGTGACAAAGATGGAATTCCCGATCTCAGGTTGCTCACGGTCTAGTTGGGAGACAGCCAGAAATACACAGTACAGTGTCACATGTGCTGTAAAAGTGGTACAGTTTCTGTGCTAGAGAAGTTCACAGATGATGCTTAGTCAGAAGGATTTTAAGGAAAGCTTTCCAAAAGCAGTGAAGGAGTTTGCCAGGCAGATTTGGGGAGAAGAAAGATGTAGTCCTAAGCTGAGGGATCAGCACATGCAGATAGGTGGTGATGATAGCATGAGAATAGCAGAATGCCTCCAGGCTAGTCATTCCATGTGACTAGTGCCAGGGTTGCATGGGAAAAGATAACTGATGAACCCAGATTGTGAAAGGCTTTGTGGCTCATGCTGAGGATTGTGGGCTTAACTCTGGGTATTGTGGAGCTGTTAAAACACATATTAAGCAGTGCAGTGATCAGATTTTCCTTTTTAAAGTGCATTCTGTGGAGCAGTAATTCTTAGCTATGAAGTCCACCACAAACTTTGTCATGATAGGTTGTGAGGTATATTAAGTAATGTTACCAATAATAAAATATCAGAGCTTACACATTAATTGATTTTTTAGTAAGTTAAAGCAAGTTGAGGTTATCACTGTGATTTTCTTTATTCACTTACATCCTGGTATGCTTTTTTTGGTGAGAGAGGAAGGGCAGGTGAGAATGGAGACACAGAGCACAAAAAAATTGCATCCAACTCACAACCTGACATATAGATTCCATGTTATTACTAGTAACTGTTGCTAATATGTACAGTTAAGACTTGTGATTACAAGCATGATATAATTCCATGATTAGCCACAAGATAGAAGGGAGGGCTCTATCAATCTGGGTGTATCCCCTCAAGAGCAAGTTGCATATGTGAATGTTGTCAGTCATGTGGGTCAAACGTGGCTTTGAGAACAAGAAGACCACAGCTGGCATTTACTGAGCATTTATGTGCCAAGGACTATGCTAACACTTTTACCTGTGTTGTTTCATTCAGTCCTCACTGACCTAATATTAGGGACAGTACTTGTAAGGTTTTGCAGTATTTCAGGTCACAAATGATGAGGACCTATACTAGAGCAGTTGTGATGGAATTTGAACCAAATGGAAGAGAAATTGAGGAGGCAAAATAGACTTGATGGTTTATTATACATAAGAAATTAGAGAGAAGCAGTTGTAATGTATGTAGTCCCCATTTCTACCTTGGGCAGATGGATGAGGGGTGGTATCCTTCACTGATTTGTAGAATACAAAAGAAGTAGTTTTGAGAGGAGTGGTGGTTGCAGATTTGGACATTATAAATTAAGAGATGTATGTCCATCAGGCAACTGTCTATATGGTTATAGGTCTTAAAAGAGAAGTCTGGGGTGAAACTTAAAAGTTAAGAGTTGTCATCATCCATAGTAGCTAAAGCCATGAATATGAATGAGATTATCTGAGCAGAGTGGTAAGAGAGCCAAGGAAGGAATTCTGGAGAGCATCGCTTAAAGAGAAAGCTTAGGAGGAGTAGCCATTAAAGGGGCTGTAGTAAGAGAAGTAGTTTGAAGTGAGTTTGCCAAAGTTCATTAACTTATAGATTTGATTAAAATTATAATTTGAGTTTTTTGGTACCCCTGGACAGTTTTGCAACCTTTATGCAATTTTAAGCACTTTTGCCTACTTTCAGAATTGCAAAAGGGAGGTTCCTAATTTTTTTATTTCCAGTTCTATTCAATTGCGTATCCCTGTTCTTAGCAGTTAGTAACTAAAAGTAAGAAACCATAAATGTTTCATAGCAGAGGAGTACCTGGGACAACATCACCCCAATTCCCAAGATCTAGTTAACCACCAGATTCTGTCAGTTCTTTATCCTAAATACCTCCATTTTTCTCTCCTTTTTAACTTTTTCTTTTCTTTTCTTTTCTTTTTTTTTTTTCTTTGAGACAGAGTCTCACTGTGTTGCCCAGGCTAGAGTTGCAGTGGTACAATCACAGCTCACTGCAACCTCAAACTTCTGGACTCTCGCTATCCTCCCACCTCAGCCTTCTGAACAACTGGGACTACAGGCATGCGCTACCACTCCCAGCTAATTTTTAAATTTTTTGTAGAGATGGAATCCCATTACGTTGCCCAAGCTGGTCTTGAACTCCTGGGCTCAAGTGATCCTCCCACTTTGGCCTCCCAAAGTGCTGGAATTACAGGCATGAGCCACCACGCCCATCCCAATTCTCTCTGTTTCATACACCTCCCTGAAGTTGTCATCTTTCAACAGTCCATTTTCCTCCACACTCAAGTGAGTGTGATCTTTCTACTTAACCACATCACTCCCTAACTTTAAACACTTTATTACCAGCAAATAAGTTCACATTTGCAAATATGGCTTACAGGGACTTTCCTGGTCTGGTCCCTTCTCACCTCTCCCACTTTATCCACTGCCACATTCTCCTTCACAGTAAATTTATGCTGTAGCCACATTGTACTGCTGCCAATTCCTTAACTGTGACATCTCTCTCACCTGAGGGTGTTCCTCCAAACTCACTCTCCATTCTTTACTCTATCTGAGGCAGTGTTACCCCCTTTCTCTAATCTAGCTCCTGCTTATCCTACAGGTCTTATCTTCCTCTTAAAAAGTCCCTTTTAAGCCACCTTGCACAGTACAGGTCCCTCTAGCTGCACCTGGTGTTTATTCATCCTGTCAGATAACTTACTTGCTTTGTGGTTATTGATTCTTTATCTCTCTTTCACTGAACTGAAAACTTCATGAAGTCAGAGTTCATTTTGTCTTTTTTTTTTTTTTTTTTTTTTTTTTGAGACAGGGTCTCGCTTTGTTGCCCAGGCTAGAGTACAGTGGTTCAATCATGGCTCACTGCAGCCGTGACCTCCTGGGCTCAAATGATCCTCCCGCCTCAGCCTCCCAAATAGCTGGGACCTCAGGCATATGCCACCACACTCAGCTTTTAAAAAAAAAAAAAAAAAAAATTGTAGAGACAGGGCCTCACTATGTTGCCTAGACTTCATTTCCGTGTTGTTCACTGCTAACTACCCAGTGCCTAGCAGAATGCCTGGACTTTAATGGATACTTAACAAATGTATTTTGAATGAAAAATTTAAGAAATAGTGGCTTTTATAAATGACAGTGGTGTTATTTTGAAAAGTGTAAAACCCATGTAGCGATTATGTGCATCTACATTCCATGCATAGGAATGGCATTTAGATAGCTATGCAGTGCTAACAGTGACTGTGTCTGGAAGAGTGGTACTGTGGAACTGTTCCTCATGTGCTTTCACTTTCCAGTATTTTCTGATTATTCTCTAATGCGCATGAGTTGCTTTTGAAGTAGGAAAAAAAATATTATAATCTTTTCAGGGGGCATTTAGAGCCCTCCAATTAAATTCCTATTATTGGACATTCATGTTGTTTTTCGGTATTACCAGCCGCACAAAAAAAAAAAAAAAAATCAAAGTAACTGAATAGTACTTAAAAATAAACTGGCCAGGCATGGTGGTTCACATCTGTAATCCTAGCACCTTGAGAAGCTGAAGCGGGAGTAACACTTGCATCCAGGAGTTGGAGACCAACCTGGGCAACATGGTGAAACCCCGTCTCTACTAAAAACATAAAAGTTAGCCAGGCATGGTGGCGTGCACACCTGTAGTCCCAGCTCCTTGGGAGGCTGAGGTGGGAGGATCACTTGAGCCCAGGAGACAGAGGTTGCAGTGAGCCGATTTCATGCCACTGCACTCCAGCCTGGGTGACAGAATGAGACCCTGTTTCAATAAATAAATAAACCTACAAAAATGTAGGAAACTCAGAAAATCTGAAGGAAAAAAGAGCCAGAGTATTAAAGATATATAAAACATGCTAAATTGACCGTTTGTGATGTACCAAATTACTGTTATTTAGCAGGGAAAAAACGGAGACTGATTTTTTTTCCCCAAAACCATGTTGACCAAAGGGCTGCTACCAGAAAAAGCAGTATCATAGAAGCTAAGGAAGAATGTTATTAGTATCAAGAGCCATAGAAAAAGAAGCAAAACAAAAGGTTTAAGCTTGTTTTATTATTATTCCCATTACAGGACCTGGTGTCAAAGATGCTTCATGTAGACCCTCATCAGAGACTGACTGCTGCTCTTGTGCTCAGACATCCTTGGATCGTCCACTGGGACCAACTGCCACAATACCAACTAAACAGACAGGATGCACCACATCTAGTAAAGGTGAGCAGCCCCATATAGTCACTGTTTTCCACATGTCCTCCAGGAGATACTTCAAGAAGCCCTGTCCATGCCCCCAGCACCTTTCTCTGTCATCCTGCATCCAGTTCTGTTGTGGGATTCTCTTACAGTGGGTGACTTAGAAAAGCTCAAGGCATGTCAATATATTAGTAATAAAACTAGTTTAAGAGCGACTTTTGAGTTCCTCTCAGTCTACATAAGTAGGTATTCACTATCAGTAAGGACAGATTAAGCTTATGGATTTCCCAACTTAAAGAGCATGCCTTCCTGTCTCTTTAGTGCCTTTATGCATTAAAGGAATGCAAAGGGAAAAAATGTTGAATAGTCTTGAGGACTACCTGTTATGAGGCTATCTTTGTTCTCTCTCATACATTATTTTAACCTCCACGTTGGCCTCTACAGTTTTGGTTAAATCAGTGGATTTGACCAATGTGGTTATTTTCATTATGAACCAAATAAAATCTGTATACATTTGCATATGAAAAAACTTCATTTTGTATTTGTGTACGTGTGACTATCCATTGTCATTTTTGTTATTACCTTTATTTCCTTTGTTCAGGGTGCCATGGCAGCTACATATTCTGCTTTGAACCGTAATCAGTCACCAGTTTTGGAACCAGTAGGCCGCTCTACTCTTGCTCAGCGGAGAGGTATTAAAAAAATCACCTCAACAGCCCTGTGAAGTGACCTCAGTGAGATATTTGGTACCATGGTGTAAGCTGATAGCACAAGTTCTGGCGACAGGTAGCACATATCTGAGAGACACCTGCAAGCACACACTGTCCCAGCTGGTACCCATAATGCTGCTGTTCCTGCTGCTGCTCCTGCTTTCGTCTCTTCTCGCTTTAAATGATTGTTAGCAAGTTAGATTTTCCTGGAGCTTCGGAAGAAATGAAAATGGAAACATGATGAAGATACAGTCACTGAATCAATGAGAAAAATGATGAACATATGAATACCACCTAAAAATACACTGAATAAAGTACACCATATAGCATTATTTTTATAGGAAATATTTCATGTCCCTTAAATATTCTTTGTTAGTTATAGGGATGGACAGTTTATGTTAAGCACTTAGCTTAAACAATCCGTTTATATTAGCACTGTATCCCTTGTGCCATCCAACATTTTGTATGTTTTTGTAAACAGTTCATATACAGTACATTTCTGTACTGCTTTCTTTAATGTATACATGCCTTGTTTAACTTGGAATCTATTATTATTAATCAATTGACTATTAAATCTGGTTAAATAGTTCACCTGGATTAACAGTATTGTTGGACAGCCCTAAAAATGGCCAGATTGTGGAACAGCTGTTGAATGTAATACTTCCAAAATGTACATATCTTTCCCCATGTCTTTTTCACTGGTTCATTCATTCGTTTGTTTCTTAAAGTCAGGTGCTCTGTCAGACTAACCTAGAGAGCTGTTATGGTAGAGAAAGTTATATGTGTGTGGCATGAAATCAAGAATACACCTATGAAGTTAGTCCATATACTTTGCAACTCCTTAGAGTTCTTTTTTCCTTAATTAAGGAAGTAGTCCTTGTACTTCTAATCTTACATAGCATCCATACTTAGAATTTGGCATATCATCTGGGATTTTGCCAATATACGTCAAAGCCCTTTAAGAGTCATGGTAAGGAGATTGGTGAAGGAAAATTTAGCAACAGGTAATTGAAGTCCTATTGGATATTTCATGTTTAAATAGATATTCTATATTAAACACTAATTTAAATGTAATAAAGGCCAAAGGCCTCTATATGAAATTGGATTTAAACTTTCTTATTTTAGGGAATAAAACATTATTGATCAAACAGTATCTGTTATAACCTAAAATTATAGGTAGGGCAGGCTAAGTGAACAGCATTAAGTATTTTCTGAATCCCTCATGATAATTTATAGCCACATACTGTTTCCTTTGACTTCAGGAATGATCAGTTTTCATAATGGCCACTGGGCCTGCTTAGATTGCGGTATTCATTATCTGCATCTAATTTGGTAGTTTCCACAATTGTATTTGACGAAAGAAACTTCAGTCCCCATTATTACCTGTGTCTTTGCCAAGCTGCTTAGCATACATTAGTATGTAATGTAAAAGACATATGAGCAAGAAAAAAGTGATTTAACTTACCTCATCAAGAATGTACCCATACGGGCCAGGTGCATTGACTCATGCCTGTAATCCCAGTACTTTGGGAGGCCGAGGCAGGTGGATTACCTGAGGTCAGGAGTTCGAGACCAGCCAGCCAACATGGCAAAACCCCATCTCTACTAAAAAATAAAAAAATTAGCTGGGCATGGTGGCACGTGCCTGTAATCCTAGCTACTCAGGAGGCTGATGCAGGAGAATCGCTTGAACCTGGGAAGTGGTGGTTGCAGTGAGCTAAGATCACGCCATTGCACTCCAGCCTGGGCGACAGAGTGAGAGTCTGTCTCAAGAAGAAGAAAAAAAAAAGAAAAGAATGTACTCATGGATTTTTCTTGTCATCATGTAATAAGCCATTTATATCAGAAACCTTTTTTCCTGCCACAGAAGCTTTAAATTTTCCCCTAAGAGTACAAAGCCAAGAGAGTGTGGTTTATCTAAATGTCCTGAAATCCACTTGTCATTCCTTGATTTCTCCTCTATGCAATTAAAGAGAAAGGGGAAATTTATAACATTTATTTTGCCCAAGTGACACAAAAAAGATTACTGCATAGAAATCAAATGTAAGTTTAGCTTCTAAAGGAAATAATGTATAGGAGGGATATCAGAATATCTACATAGAGAAAGTATTTTCAAATTCTTGAATATATGGATGCTAACTATTAAAAGCTGCTTTCCATTGCCTGGAAAGGGAGCTTTTTTCCCCTCCTCTATTCAGTGTTTCAAACTATGGTCATCTCAAATTATTGTCACTTTTAAAATGTTAATGTCATTCTGAGCAGAAAAAGAGATATTTTCAGATTTTTTACACTGATGCTACTCCATAATTGCTTAGGAGTATTGTCCATCATAGTCTTTTAGAATTAGAAGTAAACACATAAATCCTTATAAATTACCCGATCCAACTTTCTCATATTGCATGTAGAGAACCTAAGACACATATCAAAGTCTAGAATCCTTAACTTCTCCCCATTTTGATTTTTTCCCCCCTCATAACACCATGCTGCCTTTCCTTCATATGATCACCAACCAGTAGCTGAGTTCAAAAACTACATATTTCTTGGGCAGTCCTCTACTGGTATATGATGCCAACTTTTATTTCTTTCGAAGATAATTGCCTTCTTTGCCTAGTCAAGCAGCCAATTTTATTGGAGAAAAGCAAGTTATATGTTCACAAAATGGAAGGCTTTCTACCTAAATTTATTTCATCTGTGGTCCTGTTAGTCCCTTCCATTGCTTTTGACATACAGTGGAAAAACTTGGCCAACAATGTGCTCTAAATATAGTGCTTGTATTGGGTTAACTTTTCCATTAATTTCTCAACGTCAATTCTTCAGGCCCCTACAGGTGTGGTATTGAGGCCCCTAAAGGCTTCTGCCTTTCACCAATTAGTGCTGCCAATTACTGAGGCTTCTCCCAGAAGGTGTCAGTCCAGTCTTAAAGATATTTCATTGTGAAAGAAGAAACTAAACTATCAGGCCTCTTTTACAAAATGAGAGATTGAATTTAAGCTTGTCAAGCACATACTGGAAAGTATGAATTACACTACCATGTGTTTTGTATCTTCCCTTTGAAGTGATGATGTTAAATGAAGGTAAGTTTTTCATCCTTTTTTAATTTTTGTTTTTTATAAATCATTTCAGCTTTTTCTGGTTTATAGAGGTGTCTTATTTCTAATGCAACAGACCCCCAACTTGAACAGATCTGATATGGATGCATTGATTCACAAGCAACCCCAAAAGTCCAAAAATGTAATAATTTTGACAAGGCCCAAAGTTGAGATGCTATAAAGCTTGTGTGTGTGAAAAGTCAGTTATGATTGTCTGGAGAGAACGTGTGGTGTGTATGCTGTAGAGTTTCCACATTTCATATGCAGTGCACTCCAAAAAGCGGGTTTGGGTCAACCATTTCCCATCTCTTTTCAAGAAGTGACTGCTATTGGGGCCAGGGGACATCATGGGAGGTGGGGCTGTCCCATTAACTGTGCCCTGCACCTTCAGCCCAGGAAGGATTTGAACAGAGGGTAGGTGGGTGCAAAGGCATCAAGAGAGGGCAGAATGTATTCAGCAGAAAAGGGACTCAGGTAAGCCTAACCTAGGATGAGAGCAGAAAAGTATTCAAGATTTGCAGCCCTTGCTATGGATGCACTTAATCACCACGGAGGCCAGGAATACACATCTCAACATGGCTTTGATATTCTCTACTTCCTGGCCTTTAAAAATGACCTATAATTTTTCAGTTTGCTTTACTATATTTTATAAAGAAAATTCTATCTTATGATTGATGGAGCATTGAAACTTATTAAGGCATTAGGATAGATAGCTCAGGAATGTAAAGGTTCAGAAAAGGTCTGTTTTCTCAGATTAACGAATATGATGGATTCCATGGCTGACCTTGGTGCTTAAACCAGGAGGTTTCAATCTAGTCCTAGAGTTGTGTCCCTCTGAAAGGCCCAATGCCATGTAACTAATTTTAAACTGGATATATACTTTGAGCCTTACTTAATTCACAGATAACTTGACTTAACGCAGTATTTTTTTTTTTCAATTAATGAAAATAGTCCTCTTTTCAACCCCAGGTTGCTTACATTTTGCTGGTCTCCCCAAGTGACCATTGGTGGAGACCAATTAATGAAGGAATGAAATTCACTTTCTTGGGACTGTGGTATTCAACAGAGCCACATTTAACTACTTTTTCCAATGAAGAATCTCCAGAATGATAATGCCCAAATATGGATGGCCAAGAAGAATTTGTATCTACAGTGTGCTTTATGTGTTTTTGACACTGCTGTATTCTGTGTGATCAATTGATTTGCAACTGGTTCCAATGTGACTGAGTGTTCTCAAAGAATTCTAGTAACTAAGTCAACTTAATTTTCTAAAGCCTGGTATTACTATCAGCCTCACATTTACCACTTTGATTCTAGTTTTTTAACTTCATAACAGGGCATACCAAGGGTTGGGATGAGAGCCTACTTCCTACCTCTTAAGGCACTTTCCTCATTATTTTGCCATATAATCCTGAACTGCATGATAAGCTGTTTAAGTGTCCATGACTTCTCCCAGAGCAACTAGCAAAGTATATGACATTTTGAATAGAGATTAGTGGAAAGGAAAATGTAGAGATTTAAGTTCAGAGGTACAAACCTCAATAAAACCTCTTTAGAGCACATACCATGAGTAGAGTATATATAAACGTATATGAGAAGAGAGTTGCTATAATAGTCCTCTCTAAGTAGATTAGTTCATTGTCTAATGGAAGTGAACATCTTTACTCCTATTATCACCATAGTACTGAATGAACTGTATACTGAGTTTTTCAAAGAAGTATTTAAAATAGAACTTTCACCTACAAAGCAAGGGCATAAAGATTTTGGTTTGTGTTTCTGTAAGTGTAGTTTACCATCTAAAGCTTTGTTTTTTAATTTTAAAAAAAGCTTCAAGGTATTGCCTTCCTTAGCATCCTTACTGATTATGGGTGATGAGTTTTTAACTCTTAAAAATCATATACATATATTAGTTTATCTTAACTATTGCCCTAAGCAAAAGGGAAGGTATACACCTAAGGGTTGTACTTATTTTGCATTTTTGGTCATGGGTGGGAATGGGGTGGGTGCCTACTTAAATAGTTTTTAAAAAAGAAAAAAATCACAAATATTTTTCTACTATTATATATGATCTTCCTTTATACTAGTTTCTCTCTAGTAAGGCATGCCAGAAGCCCAGATACCATATCATGGATTCTTATGTATTGTACCTTTCGTTGGTGGTTAAATCGCATCAGATGCTTGGCATTGCTGCCATAATTATAAAATGCTTGTAAAGGATCAAATATCACTAAATACTTTAAATTGTTTTACTTAAGAGTCGAATCTGGGAAGTTTTCAAATCATACTATTAATGTGTAATCTAAGCTCTTCAGATGTATCCATGAATAATCCTGGAACAATATTGCTTGTATTCCTGTCATAGAACAGGTTTTGTAATCTTTAAAAGAAATGAAAATTTATATAATAAAGTTTCAAATCAATGCGTGTTTGTCCCTTTTATCAGATTATTTTGATCATATAACTCTTTATAATGTGAAATTCTATCCAAAGGATATTTTTGAAACTAGGTTGATAGAACTTAAAACAGGAATATTTGAGTTAAGAAGTGCAAAATAATTTTTCCATGCATAATCTTGTTTCATTCAAAGGGTTTGTCAAGTCAAACACATAAATCATAGTTCTTACCCAATACCAAACTTTAATGAATCAGAGGATATGGGATGATCACCAGACACAGATGAGATACTCTTTTTAGAGAAGTCCAAAATGTTACAGAGTCCAGCTCCAAAAATGGCCCTTTTCTCTCTCGGTGCACTTTGGATTCAAAATGGACAAGTTTTCTGAGCGTTGTATGTGGAGACCTTGTTCAAACGGAGTCATTTGATTTTGCAACATATCCTTTTTGTACTTCATTATGCAGTTTAAATGAGCCCTCATTCTCCAGCCAGTCATGCCTCATGAATCCACAATTCCCAAGTTTTACAATAAACCATCTATAAAGACCAAGTATATCTTGCTAAAAGCATCTTAGAGATAAGGACTTTACGTTTTCTCTCTGGTAATAAATATCAGCATATTTTAGAGGAAATTTGATTGAGTTCATTGATCCTGCTAAAGAGGGAATGGTTATATAGGCCTGAAGTTAGCCTTTTCTTGCCCAGTTGACATTTCTTAGTAGTTCCATATTATGAAATACCACACATTGAGTGACTTACTCAAAATTTATTTTCTCACAGTTCTGGAGGCTGGAAATCCAAGACCAGGGTGCTTGTAGGGTTGGGTTCTTCAGAGACCTCTCTCTGGCTTACAGTTGGGTGCCCTCTTGCTGCCTCTTCACATGGTTGGTCCTCTGTGCATGTGCAGCCTTGGTGTTCCTTTTTTTATAAGGACACCAGTCACGTTGCATTAGAGCCCCACTCTAACAGCCTCATTTTAATTCAATCACCTCTTTAAAGACCTTATCTTCAAATACTGTTACATTCTTACGTACTGGGGGTTGGGACTTCGACATAAGGATTTGGGGAAGATACAACAATTCAGCCCGTTACAGCTGGTTTCGGAGCTATCCACCTGAATTTAGGTACTTGAGATAAGATGGCAACCTTCAAGGTCTACTTGGCATTATGCTGAGGCAAGGTAGGAATGTTAACTGTATTTGCTTTCTACCATTTTTGTAACAAATTACCACAATTTAGTGGCTTAAAACAACACGAATTTGTTATCGTACAGTTCTGGAGATCAGGTCTCACTGAGCTAAAATCAAGGTGTCAGCAGGGCTGCTGCGTTCCTTTCCAGAGGCCGTAGGGAAGAATTGTTTCCTTGCCTCTTCCAGTTTCTAAAGGCTGCCTCCATTCCTTGACTTATGGCCCATTCCTTCATCTTCAAAACCAGCAACGGTGGGTCAAGTCCTCTCCACATGCATCTTTCTGCCTCTCCTCTTCTGCCTCTTCCACTTTTAAGGACTCATGTGATTAGATTTCACCTACGCAGGGAATCTAGGATAATCTCTCCATCTCAAGGTCAACTGATTAGCAACATTGATTGCATCTGCAACTTTTGTTCCCTGTTGCCACGTGAGATAACATATTCACAGATTCCAGGGATTTGGACATGGACATCTTTGAAGTTCATTAGTCTGCCTACCATGATTATAGAAACACCTGGCTCCTCACACAGACTGACACAGAGTAGCAGTATTTGGCCATGGTCAGGCTTCTACAGCTTTATATTAATGTACCCTGAATTCATAGAATTGACACACTAAAAAAGCTAGGTAAAGGAAGTGCAGGATGCTGCAGGAATATGTAGCAGGGTTGCCTAGGGATTAGAGCAGACCTTCTAAGGAAACAAGCATTAATCTGAGACCTAAAAGGGCAAGGAAGAAGGGTAGAATAAAATGTATAGAAATTCGGAATTAGAAGCACTCAAAATTAAAAGTTCTGTATGACTAGAACTTAAAATGTAAGAGAAGCAGCAAGACGTGAGGCTCAAGAGATAAGCAGGAGCCAGATCATCAAAGGCATAATAAATCATATTAAGGAATTTGAATTTTATCCCTTTGGGGTTTTCCCCCACAGTCCCCAGTCTTTATTTCCTTTTCTATCAAGACTGAACCTCATGGCCCCATAGTTGATAATCTGAACTTCTCTTTCAGAAGCACCCACAACTTCCTTATATCTTTCCCTTATTCTGCACCCACTGAGCAAAAAAAAAAAAGAAAAAAACCTCCAATCCTGGATCATTTTGGTTAATGATTGTATGCAGTGAGCTATTGTATGGAAGAAATGTAACCACCCAATGGGTTCACCTTGCTCTGACTAGACAGAGCCAATTTATCAAGACAGGAGAATTGCAATAGAGAAAGAGTAATTCACGCAGAGCCACCTGTACAGGTGACTGGAGTTTTATTATTACTCCAATCAGTTTCCCTGTGCATTCAGGAATCAGAGTTTTAAAGGATAATTTGGTGGGTTGGGGTGGGGTGGGGGGCAGTGAGTCAAGAGTGCAGATTGGCCAGGTCAGAGATGAAATCATAGGGTACTGAAGCTGTCCTCTTGCAATGAGTCAGTTCCTGGATGGGGGCCACAAGCTCATATTAGCCAGTTTATTGATCTGGGTGGTGCCAACTGATCCATCAAGTGCAGGGTCTGCAAAATACATCAAGCACTGATCTTAGGCTTTATGATAGCGATGTTGTCCCCAGGAGCAATTTGGGGAGAGTCCAAATCTTGTAGCCCCCAGCTGCATGACTCCTAAACCATAATTTCTAATCTTTTGGGTAATTTGTTAGTCCTACAAAGGCAGTCTAGTCCCCAGGCAAGAAGGAGATTCATTTTGGGAAAGGGCTGTTATCATTTTCATTTTAAACTGTAAACTAAGTTTCTCCCAAAGTTAGTCCAGCCTACACCCAGGAATGAACAAGGACAGCATGGAGGTTAGAAACAAGATGGAGTTGGCCGGGCATGGTGGCTCACGCCTGTAATCCCAGCACTTTGGGAGGCTGAGGCGGGCGGATCACAAGGTCAGGAGATCGAGACTATCCTGGCTAACACGGTGAAACCTCGTCTCTACTAAAACTACAAAAAAGTAGCCGGGAGTGGTGGCGGGCGCCTGTAGTCCCAGCTACTCGGGAGGCTGAGGCAGGAGAATGGCGTGAACCCAGGAGGCAGAGGTTGCAGTGAGCCAAGATCTCGCCACTGCACTCCAGCCTGGGCGACAGAGCGAGACTCCATCTCAAAAACAAAAAGAAAAAGAAAAAAAAAGAAACAAGATGGAGTTGGAGTTGGTTAGGTCAGATCTCATTGTCTCAGTTACAATTTTGCAATGGCGGTTTTGAAAACCATATAATTATGCAAACTGATACCACTGCAAATTTATATTTTCTAATCTCAGCTAAACCCTCAGTACCATTTGTCAGTTCTTTTATTTGTCATTTGATCCATCTCCTATTTCTTTTTTTTAACAGTTTTATTGAGACATAGTTTATATGCCACACAGTTTACCATTTAAAGTGTACAATCTAGGCCAGGTACGGTGGCTCACGCCTGTAATCTCAGCACTTTGGGAGGCCAAGGCAGGTGGATCACCTGAGCTCAGGAGTTCAAGACCAGCCTGGCCAACATGGCGAAACCCCATCTCTCCTAAAAATACAAAAATTAGCCGGGCATGGTGGCAGGAGCCTATAATCCCAGCTACTCATGAGACTGAGGCAGGAGAATCCCTGGAATCTGGGAGGCGGAGGTTGTAGTGAGCTGAGATTGAGCCATTGCACTCTTGCCTAGGAGACAAGAGTGAAACTCTGTCTCAAAAAAAAAAAAAAAAAGTGTACAATTTAATGTGTTGTTTTGTTTTTCTTTTTTTTGAGACAGCATTGAACTCTTGCCCAGCCTGGAATGCAGTGGCACGATCTCAGCTCATGGGTTCCAGCGATACAGGTGCACACCACCACGCCTGCCTAATTTTTGTATTTTTTAGTAGAGACGAGGTTTCACCATATTGGCAAAGCTGGTCTCAAACTCCTGACCTTGCGATCCGCCAGCCTGGGCCTCCCAAAATGCTGGGATTACAGGTGTGAGCCACCGTGCCCGCAATTTAATGTCTTTTAGCATAGTACTTGCAGAGTTGTACAACCATTATCATAATGTAATTTTAGAACATTCTCAACATCCCAAAAAGTAACTTTATACCGTAATCCAAGCCACAACTCTCTTTCGTTTGGACTACAGTAGCCTCCTGTGTGGTTTCCATTTCCACCCTTGCCCCCTACAGTCTGTTCCTAACACAGAAACCAAAATGATCTATTTAAAAACATACTGAAAGGCCGGGCACAGTGGCTCACACCTGTAATCCCATCCCTTTGGGAGGCCGAGGCAGGTGGATCACTTGAGGTCAGGAGTTCAAGAACAGCCTGGCCAACATGGCGAAACCCCATCTCTATAAAAATACAAAAATTAGCCAGGCGTGGTAGTGCACACCTGTAATCCCAGTTACTTAGGAAGGCTGAGGCAGGAGAATCACTTGAACCTAGGGGGCAGAGGTTGCAGTGAGCCAAGATCGTGCCACTGCACTCCAGCCTGGGCCCTGGGCGACAGAGCAAGACTCTGTCTCAAAAAAAAAAAAAAAAAAAAAACCTACTGAAGATTACAAGTGATCTGGCCTCCTTACTTCTCCAATCTCATCTCTTCAAATTCTTCCCTTGGTTCAATGCATTCTAGCCACACTGATCTTCTTTCTTTCTTTTCTTCCTTCCTTCCTTCTTTCCTTTCCTTCATTTATGTCCTTCCCTTCTTCCTCCTTTCCTTCCTTCTTTCATGGGGTCTCCCTCTGTTGCCCAGGCTGAAATGCAGTGGCACAATCATAGCTCATTGCATCCTCAAACTCCTGGGCTCTAAGGATCCTCCTGCCTCAGCCTCCCAAGTAGCTGGGACTATAGATGTGAACCACCATGCCTGGCTTTTTTTATTTTCATGTGTTTACTTTT